ATTACATGTTAATAACTTGATTGGAATTATAACCTTGAATTGACAGTTTGATACTTTGAAAATTTTGAGCCAGCCCTACCCCCAAGGGCTGTAGGGTGGGGCTCAAAGGAGTCAGTGTGCTAAAATTTCTTCATTTTCCTTGTTAAGAATCAGAGGTGCTAGTTTCAAATCCTTTTTAGTCTGAAATCTGTATGCTAGATATTGAGTAAGGTGGTTTTATTGTTTTTTGTCACTTTGAATAATATTTCTGTTCATGTTAAAAACAAAATCAACTCTCTGTATAAATATATCAGGTGACCGTTAAGGCCCATGGGCCTCTTGTTTAGTTTGCACCTCAGCTTAAGTACATGTGTATTTTAACATTGTTGATCTCAGTTTAAATGGTGTACATCATAACTGAAACATGACTGTAAAAATGGTTAAATGCTATACAAACACAATTTTGCATGTAACTTTTTGATCAAAACAAATCAGCCATATAGCATTACGCATAGGTCCCTTCACTGCCATTTCAAGCGACTAGCTCTTAACCTATAAGCTATACATATAGACATGAAAGTTTCTGTTGGAGTATGGGACTAGCTCTTAACCTATAAGCTACACATATAGACATGAAAGTTTCCGTTGAAGTATGAGACTAGCCCTTAACCTATAAGCTATACATATGGACATGAAAGTTTCTGTAGAAGTATGAGACTAGCTCTTAAGCTATAAGCTATACATATGGACATGAAAGTTTCTGTTGAGGTATGAGACTAGCTCTTAACCTTTAAGCTTTAAGCTATACATATAGACATGAAAGTTTCTGTTGAAGTATGAGACTAGCTCTTATCCTATAAGCCATACATATAGACATGAAAGTTTCTGTTGAAGTATAAGACTAGCTCTTAACCTATAAGCTATACATATGGACATGAAAGTTTCTGTTGAAGTATGAGACTAGCTCTTAACCTATAAGCTATAAGCTATACATATGGACATGCAAGTTTCTGTTGAAGTATGAGATGTATTGACATGAGACTTAACCAAAAACCTTTTTTTTAGAATTAAACATATAAATAACCTAAGTACGAAGTAATCTCGGGAACACATATATATGTGACTATGTTACTTAACAAAGGAGCATTGATGTGGGCCAGATATCTAGTCTTATGATAGTGAACAATTATAATGATTTGATAATGGTCAGATACAATTTTCAAACATGTAAAAAATTCTTACGAAGTATAACTTGTACACACAAAAAAGAACAAATATGGTTTGATGTTAGACTAAACTTACATATTCATCTTGTGCAGGAAGTGCTTTTCAGTATTAAACCAAAATTCTTGGACATGATTTTAAGATTGAATGTTGTTACCATTCTACGATACTCTCGCAGAAGATAACAAGATGGGCCAATTTTGACAAGTTTAATCATGGTCGAAGTCAATTAAAAGTGCAATGCCATATGCTTGGCAGAATTATTTAAAGGTAGCTTCAGTACAAAGACTACATGCACATGTATCACTTCCTCTGTCTCAGAATCTGGCAAAGGTCAAATATGAGATAATTGATCTTACTTAGGGCAGGCTAACAAGACTAAGGACTCTATTATCTTCAGAAACAACTATCTTCGAATGTTATTAATTAATTTTGCAAGAATCAAATACTTAGAGATGTATAAAACACATCAATTAAGAGATAACATCAAAGTACATTGGATTAAATGTAACGGGACATTATTAAGATGATTATACTGTTCCTATTATTATTTCCAAATCAAATTTGTAAAAATATTTGTATTCAATATGACATATTTATGCCCCTTGCAAACCAAGTTTGGAGTATACAGGAATCGCCGTCCATCCATCTGTCAATGATCCTTTTTAAGTGCAACTCCACCTAAACCATGTGTTAGGATGTGTTTGTAACTTGACACGGAAAGTACATCATTTGTAGATGTGCACGCAGAAAGGAATTTCAACAATTCTTCCTGGAGTTAGGGCCCTCTAAAATTTCTGCTCGGGGAACCTTGTAAGTGCAACTTCTCCTAACAGTTGTTGGACTTTTTGGTAACTGAACACAGTGAAAGAACATGTTACCGGTATGTAGATGCGCATAAAGAAAGGAATTTGCTATACCCAGTACATGTACTACTATTTTTCCTGGAATTATGGCCCTTTAAATTTAGTTTCTGCTCCAGAAACATTGTAAGCACAAGTGCCAGGAATAGCTCACCGTTTCTCTAGTCCGACATTGCAGCAGTAAAACTGATCATTCTCATTTGCTTAAGTATTCACACCATCCCCAGGCCTGCTTTATCTGTTTCACTGGAATTTCTCTCTTTCATGTCCAATTCTCGGGTTATACCCTTTCACCCCTAGGTAACTTGGGTAGACTCTACCATACATTCATCTGGATGAGTCCATTATGACATACAGGGGTGAATGGGTTAACCTTGCTGTTAAAACAACCCAGTGTCTGATGAGACAATGCTGTACCTTACTAATTTATTTGTTTTTTCTAAGGCAGATAAATTATTGAAATAATGTTGACATTCTTAATATACTGGAAAGCAATGTTGAAGATAGTTAAATTGGCTGAAATACAAACTATGGCAAGTCATTTTACCGGCAAGTTTGAAAACCAGCTGGACTACAATGTAACACCATCAACTTAATATTCGGGTATGTGTTATAAAACATGACGGAATTCTTTGCAATTATATATTATAAAGATGCATTTGTTTTTTAGTTGTGATAATTTGTCAAAATTCTTCCTTTTTGAAAACATATTGCTGGTATTTTAAAGCTATGCATGATAAACCCATGTCCTCTGATCTGTGTGATGTTTTATAAGTTACAGATCGATCAGTGAAGCCTCAAACATATTGGGAGTCTATTTTCATAATAACTTGACATTATGGAACAGGTCTGTCAACTCTTTGCTGGCAATGGTAACCCATTGGAAATAAGAATGAAGATTGTTCAAAGTTAATGTCTAACTTGCCTAGTCTGTTTTAAACCTATTTTCCTAAATGCTCCTCGTCAAAGACTCAGGTGCTAGATATTCAATACTATTTTGTATATTGTTATCCTCAAAACTGGTGTGTAGGAAAACTTAAAACACTAAGAGGTCTAAAGGGCGAACTCTGCCCGAGTCTGTGCGTGAGGTATATTCCAATATGATACTGTATTTTAGTAAAAGTTAAAACTATGAGAAAATTTCACGATTTTAGCAGTATTACTGATATATTGCATAGTGTAATGAGCAAGGTTCAGTGCAGGATCAATTCTCAAATAAGCTGAGCGTTTGACCTTAATTTCTATTGAATGAATGACAAACCAGGTTTCAGTGTGACGGTGCTCAGGCCTGTAGATGTGAATAGCATAATGATTCAAATGTCCATGTCATGCACCATACATAATTTATTTGACTCATTAAACCATATAAATACTGACCGCTTTGTCTGTTTTGTATTTCATTTCTGGGACTTGCATGTGTACATTTGTTAAGTAACTTTATCTTATTATACCCCCGCAACGAAGTTAGTGGGGGTATACTGGAATCACCCTGTCTGGATGTCGTCCACAGTAACTTGTCCGGAAAACTCCTCTTAATTAACAGGTGGATTTCATTGAAACTTTGCATGAATGATCAGTATATTATGTAGTTGTGCACCGGCATTTTAATTTGGGATTTCGACCCTTTTTGATGGAGGTATGCCCCTTTTTGCGAAATACTTGTCCGCACAACTTCTCCTCAACGAACTGGTGGATTTCATTGAAACTTTGCATGAATGATCAGTATCTTATGTAGTTGTGCACCGGCATTTTAATTTGGGATTTCGACCCTTTTTGATGGAGGTATGCCCCTTTTTGCGAAATACTTGTCCGCACAACTTCTCCTCAACGAACTGGTGGATTTCATTGAAACTTTGCATGAATGATCAGTATCTTATGTAGTTGTGCACCGGCATTTTAATTTGGGATTTCGACCCTTTTTGATGGAGGTATGCCCCTTTTTGCGAAATACTTGTCCGCACGCCTTCTCCTTAACGAACTGGTGGATTTTATTGAAACTTTGCATGAATGATCAGTATCTTATTTAGTTGTGCACCGGCATTTTAATTTGGGATTGATGGATTTATGCCCCCTTTTGCGAAATACTTGTCCGGAAAACTCCTCCTTAATTAACAGGTTGATTTCATTGAAACTATGCATGAATGATCAGTATTTCGACCCTTTTTAGCCCACTATCATCTGATGGTGGGCTATTCAAATCACCCTGCGTCCGTGGTCCGTCCTTAAACAATTCTTGTTATCAGTATTTCTCAAGAAGAACCAGAGGGATCTTTTTCAAATTTTATATGCAGGTTCCCCTTGGTCCTTAGCTGTGCAGGGCAACTTTTGAGACTGACCAGATAAACAACATGGCCGACAGGCAGCCATCTTGGATTTTGATAGTGAAAGTTTGTTATCGCTATTTCTCAAGAAGCACCAGAGGGATCTTTCTCAAATTTTATATGTAGGTTCCCCTTGGTCCCTAGCTTTGCAGGGCAACTTTTGAGACTGATCGGAAAAACAACATGGCCGACAAGCAGTCATCTTGGATTTTGATAGTGTAGGTTTGTTACCACTATTTCTCCGGAAGAACTAGAGGGATCTTTCTTAAATTTTATATGTAGATTCCCCTTGGTCCTAGCTGTGCAGGGCAATTTTAGAGACTGATCGGATAAACAACATGGCCGACAGGCAGCCATCTTGGATTTTGATAGTGACAGTTTGTTATCGCTAATTCTCAGGAAGCACAGGAGGGATCTTTCTCAAATTTTAAATGTAGGTTCCCCTTGATCCCTCGTTGTGCATGTTTTATTTTGAGACTGATCAAAAAAACAAAATGGATTAAAAGAAGAACTAAACAGATCTTTCTCATATTGCAATGATCGATTCTATTTCTTTCACAGTAAGTACTGTACTAGTAAATATGTGAAATGACAAACTCACTTTGAAGGTTGGCTTTCATACACATCAGTATTAAGTTTAGATCAAAAGTTACCTCAAGGTGCATTTACTGTTAACATGACTCGATCAAACAGATTAGAGGAAAGAAGAGAAAAGATTGAACTGACAAAGAACTAATGAAGATGGTACAAAGGTCGGCGCCAAGATCCCTCTGGGATCTCTCGTTGATGGAGTTATGCCCCTTTTTGTGAAATACTTATCCGCGCACTTTCTCCTTAACTAACAGGTGGATTTCATTGAAACTTTGCATGAATGATCGGTATCTTATGTAGTTGTGCACCGGCATTTTAATTTGGGATTTCGACCCTGTTTGATGGAGTTATGCCCCTTTGGAAGCTTTGTGCGAAATAGTTGTTAATGGTGGGAGACTATTTGCTTTGCCTTAGTAAGCCTTTAGCTTAAAGTTCTGGTTTATATAGGAGCGGGGTTATTAGTTAGCCTTTAGCTTACAGTTCTAGTTGGCTTTCAAAATCAACATCATGATGTGGTTATAAAAGATTGGACATATAAGAAAGATTGAACATATAAAGAAAGATTGGACATATATACAGTTGTATTGCATTACTAGACATGTACAGTAAAAGACCTTGAAAGTGGTTTTTAGGTCTTTATTTGAACAAAACGTAATACTTTAACCCATTGGACTACTGGCTAAACAGCATCACCCTTGGCCTCTTGGTAATTCAAAATAAGTCATTTCAAAATGTTCAACTCATCTGACCCCTGCAAGCTTGAATATGGGTGAACGTCAATCACATAAACAAAGTTGATAGCCCTTCAACCCAGCATGCTATTGGCCAGAAAGCATTACCTTGAACTAGTGTAAAGGTTTTCAACATATTTAGACCATATGATCTTCAATATGGATAAACGTTTCAGACTATACACAATTTTTTTAAAGGTTTTGAACATTGTGACCTTGCAATGAGGTTATCTCATAAATAAGAACAAACTTGATAGCCCTACATCCCAGCAGGCTACTTGCCAAACATCACAGACCTCAAGCTTGTTCATATGTTGTTGAACTCTGTGGCCTTGCAAGTAGGTCAAGGTAAATCACTTGTAAAACTTTATAGCCCATTGTCCCAGCATGCTACTGGCCAAATTTTGCCCTGGGTTTCATTGTATTTCAAAAGAAGTCTTTCAAATGTTATGTTGTGGAGGAAAGCCGAGGGTTCCTGGAGAATAACCACCGACCTACGGCCAGTACCTGGCGGCTGCCCCTTATACTTGATTTTGTTCGGAACAGCTGTACCTCTTTCAAGTACGATCTTCCTTAAATTCTTTGGGTGTAACTTAGAAAGATACAAGTACCAAACAGAAAATTCTCTAAGGTTTTGAAAAAAATAAACACTCAACACATAAACATTGAAGACATTTTATTTGCCTTTGCTGCCTGTTGGTTTCTGGTGAGTGTTCATTTTCTTGTTCATTTTCACACCACTTTCTTTTGAACTTTTAAAACTGTTACTGAATATTGCCTTGTTCTTTCTCACTTTTTTAGCATCACTAGATCTCATTTTCTTTAATTTTTTGTCCTTTTTAAGTTTCTTTGCAGATTTTCCTTTATTGACAGTCTCTTCCCCATGTTTATTTTTGAAGTTCTTCTTTGCATGTGGTTTTCCTTTCTGGTCAATCTGAACATTGTTAAGGAATAATCCTGTGAAACCTAATAAATAAGTGCAGACCAAGCAGGCTTTTCACGTCTTAAATTCGAACTATTTCCTGATCTATGCTACATTAAAGTAAGGAGTGAAACATTCATCAATACCTTCGATCAAAGTTTAATATTCATAAACCATTTTGATAAAGTTCAGGGTTGACTGAAAGGTAATTTAATTAATACTAATGTCCCACACCACTTTAGGATAATTGGTTGTAAGATGCTATAGTAAGAACAAATTTCCAGTTGCCAAGTGCATGGAGTGTATAATAATCCCAATGTTTTTGAACAGCTTAAAATAGAGTTTAATTATACCCAAAGTTTCAAAGAATTTTCATTAATTAAAATGTAAAGGTTAACATATCAATAAGAAGAGGGGCATAACTCCTGTTAGATATGTTGAACAGAAAACTGTTGCACATGCAGTTTAACATAGTACAGAGTGTATTTTATACATGTAATATGGTACGGAGAAATACATAGCCAAACAATATGTTTGAACGAAGAGATGAGTAAAAAGGACAATGTGTGTTGAAAAGAGTCTTGCATGCACAATTTCACCTCAAGTTGCATTGATATCTAAAGTTTCTCAGAAATATCTAGAAATAGACAAATATCAGTACCTCATATATTTTCAACAAGAGGCCCATGGGCCTTAACGGTCACCTGAGTCTATAGTATTTATTTTTGTTGTTGAAATATGTACCAATTTGAGTAAAAAATAGTATAATGTTAACTTAACTTTGTCAGGACCATGAGCTGATCATTCCTAGACCAATTTTAAGTGAGATCGGCCTATTAGAACTTAGTAGCAAAATAGCAGCCATGGCAGCCAAATTGTATTTCTGATTGACCCGAAAAATAACAACACTTTGTCAGGACCATGAGGCGATCATTCCTACCAACTTTCAGTTCAATCGGCCCAGCAGAACTTGACTTTAAGTTTGAAATGTAAAATGTTAACGGACGACGGACGACGACGGACGAAAACGGATAGCAATAGGTCACTTGAGCTAAAGCTCAGGTGACCTAAAAATGGAAGAAAGAAAACTCGCTCAAGGGATTATCTCCAAAATCAAAACTACAAAATGCAACATAGTATAACCATATATTAATGCTAAAGCATGATCAGCAGACAAAAGGATACCCCAGTTTTCTTGGGTAGGCCAGGGTTCTCCTGACTCCTCATCACTCGGATTTCCCGACTCGCCAACTTACTGCCATTTAAATGAGAGGCCAGGCCAACAGCATCAGGGGACTGCAATGACAAGTCATGTATTATCCTCTTGTGTTATGGAGAAGAAATAAAATACAGCATCATAGTTTTATTATATACATGAACATTTCATGTAAAAGTTGGCAACTGAACATGTTCTCTACAATTAACACATATAAGTGTATTTCCTCCACATCAATGATTTTTTTTAATCTTTCTATCATTGATAGAAAACAAAACAGTTAATCTTTTTCTCCATATTGTTTGGTTTGGTTTGCTGACTTACATCAAACTGGATGTAACAGAAGCCCTTTCCCAGTCCAGTTTTGTTATCACGGATGATGCGAACGCTGACAATCTGGCCACAGTCACTGAAGTGCGACCAAATCTGCTCCTCATCTATCCCTGTCACACAAAAACAACATTTACTGGTCATCAGTGACAGGTATCCATATCTCAACATCGTATTTTCATTTATCACCATAGCAACTGCTCCAGCTCACAGTCTGCATTAAATCAATGTGTATTTAAATGTATCTTTTTCCACTGAAAGAATTTATTTAAAATTCAGAAAATAATACAGATATAAGACATATTTTTATAGAATAGATCGTATTCTAAAATGGTTCTGAGGACAACTTTCTAATTTGTAAAATAAGTTTCAAGCATTCTTTGATTCTCTCTGATGAAACCGTCAAATGCACATGATGTAGAGTGGGGTTAAATATGATTTTAATTTTAATGTCATCATTCAAAGCACACTATCATTATTTATTATTGTATTTATATTATTATAAAATTGTTTGTTTACAATGTCAAATCCTTCGATTCTATCCACTTACTGACATCCAGGTTTCCCACGAACACGGAGCAGCGGTGATTATGCTGCAATGTAATTAAGCACAGGTATATAAGCTTGTAGTATACAGGCTCTTCTGATTCATTTGAGATAAAGCACAGTATACAATTGGTCAATCAAAATAATTTCCATCTCTATAACTATGATGCACTGTCTGCCAAATTCTTGTTTTCAAAGCCCTTATAGTAATGACACTAACGACCGGAAAAACAATAGCACTCCCCTGGAACATCACTTTGAATTTTCCTGATGCCAATAAACCATGGTAGTGACCCAAATTCTGAAAAGCCCACAAAACAGACCTCAAATCATCTGGTGCAGTGTTTTGTTTTCTTTGTGGTTTTAGCTTCTATAAATTAGAATGATAACAATCATACTGTGTTTAGAGTTGATTATTTGTTATTATACTGTCACAGCTCCACATCACCAGTAAAATTTAATTTGTGACAGTATAATAATGAAATATCACCACAAATCTCAACACACTGCATGGTTATCCCCTAATCCCCCTATTATATACTCAATTCAGTTTCTCAATCATTGATAAAGGGGGCTTAATAATCCCTGATTCTTGCCTCATTTTAATCAAAACCAGAACACTGTACTTTAAAATTACATTTATAATAGGAGAATCCATTTTAAGAAAATCATAACTCCACCCCCCACCCCCCTTCTTTTCTACGCTCTTGTATCATTCTTACCTCTTTACTCTTAGATGCCAGATCCACTCTGATATGGCGACCCTCTACCTCTCTCCCATTTCTAAGATAACAAAAGAATATGGTACATATACAATACTATTTTTTCATCAATGTTCCCTTCAACAATGTAATTAACAAACATTAATTCAGTTATGAAACATGAAAAGATTGTTCCATAAAGCTTATGATGAACCCTTTTTTCATTTCAAAATTAAGTTTATTATGAAAATTAAGATTTTAATCTGTACCCAAAATTGATTGTATATTACAAACATATTTTACTTGATGCCTCATCTTTTAATGTGTAATGTTAAAACATTAATGTGGAATGTAATGTAAGATGAATGTGGAATGTAGTGTAAGATGAATGTGGAGTGTAGTGTAAGATGATTGTGAAGTGTAGTGTAAGATGAATGTGGAGTGCAGTATAAGATGAATGTGGAGTGTAGTGTAAGATGAATGTGGAATGTAGTGTAAGATGAATTTGGTGTGTAGTATAAGATGAATCTGGAGTGAAGTGTAAGATGAATCTGGAATGAAGTGCAAGATGAATCTGGAGTGAAGTGTAAGTTGAATGTGGAATGTGGTGTAAGATGAATGTGGAATGAAGCGAAGATAAATGTGGAGTGAAGTGTAAGAGAATGTGGAGTGTAGTGCAAGATGAATGTGGAATGTAGTGTACGATGAATCTGGAGTGTAGTATAAGATGAATGTGAAGTGTAGTGTAAGATGAATGTGGAATGTAGTGTAAGATGAATGTATAGTGTAGTGTAAGATGAATGTGGAATGTAGTGTAAGATGAATTCAGAGTGTAGTGTAAGATGAATGTATAGTGTAGTGTAAGATGAATGTGGAGTGTAGTATAAGACGAATGTATAGTGTAGTGTAAGATGAATGTGGAGTGCAGTGTAAGATGAATGTGGTGTGAAGTATAAGATGAATGTGGAGTGAAGTGTAAGATGAATGTGGAGTGTAGTATAAGATGAATGTGGAGTGTAGTGTAAGATGAATGTGGAGTGTAGTGTAAGATGAATGCGGAGTGTAGTATAAGATGAATGTGGAGTGTAGTGTAAGATGAATGTGGAGTGTAGTATAAGATGAAAGTGGAGTGTATTGTAAGATGAAAGTGGAGTGCAGTGTAAGATGAATGTGGAATGTAGTGTAAGATGAATGTGGAGTGCAGGATAAGATGAATTTGGAGTGAAGTGCAAGATTAATGTGGAATGTAGTGTAAGATAAATGTGGAATGTAGTGTAAGATAAATGTGGAGTGTAGTTTAAGATGAATGTTGAGTGTAGTGTAAGATGAATCTGGAGTGAAGTGTAAAATGAATGAGGAGTGTAGCATAAGATGAATGTGGAGTGCAGTGTAAGATAAATGTGGAGTGTAACTTTACATTACATGAGCGAGGGAAATCAAGTGGTATGCCCGAAGAACACAAATCCTCCTTTTGGGAATGCATTTCGAATTACCCTTCTCATACACAACTTTACACCGATGGTTCCAAAGAAGGTGAGAAAGTGGCAGCAGCCTGCTGTACTGCTAATACTTGCACTTCAGTCCGACTACCAGACGGCGCCTCCATCTTTTCTGCTGAAGCATGCGCCATTGGTTTGGCCCTCGACCATATCGATGAACACCGCATTAAAAAGGCAATTATTTGTTCAGACTCTCTATCTGTCCTACAGAGTTTACAGTTACGAGATCCTAAAAACACACTCGTACAAAACCTTGCTCTTCGAATATCTCGTATATTAAAAAAGTCTAAAATAACTTTACTATGGATTCCGAGCCATGTCGGAATAAAAGGCAACGAATTTGCTGACAGGGAAGCAAAAAATGCATTGAATCTCGAACAAACAAATATCAAACTACCATACACAGATTTTAAACCTACTATTCGTACAGCCATTCAAAATGAATGGCAGAAACGCTGGTCTCTGGAGACCAACAACAAACTTTTTAAGATACAACCGAAACTTAAAACATCTATTCCCAGTCGGAAAGATCGTAGAGAGGAAGTTGTCCTCGCTCGGCTCCGCACTGGGCACACATATCCTACTCATTCGTACCTTTTAAAACGAGAAGATATACCTTCATGCCACGCATGTGACACTCCATTTACAGTGGAACATTCGTGATAACTACTTTCGAGTTCCGGATATGAAAACACTTTTCAGTTCCGTGGATTCGAAGGCATTATTTAACTATTTGAAAGACATCGGTCTATTTTATAGACTCTGATGTCTTTTAACCCACTTAACCCTTTTTGACATTATATATATATCACATATTCCATATCATCTATTCGTTATCTCTTTTATTACTTTAACCCCCTTTTTTATTTTTTATTATCTACACATACAATGCGGATGCTTTTAAAATGAACCATTTTATCTGATTTTATCTTCGCTACTCACATGTTTGTTAAAAAAATAAAATAAATAAATCACCATGGCCCTAAATGACCACAGCTGTCGATGGGCCGTTAAACATAAACAAACAAACAAAAGGAGTGTAGTGTAAGATGAATGTGGATTGTAGTGTAAGATGAATGTGGAGTGTATAATAAGATGAATGTAGATTGCAGCGCAAGATGAATATGGAATATATTATAAATTGTCTAAGAGAGTGATAAAGAAAGACATGTTGGATTGGAACTTACAACTTCAGAGCTTTCTGTGCAGACTTTTCTTCTTCAAAACAAACGAATCCGACAATAGTTGGTCTTTCAGGATGAAAATCTTTTCTGAAATAATGAAATGTGACATTAGCTTTTTTATTGGTATGGTTACGTAGTTATCACAACTAGAACACTGACAGGTCAGCATTACTGTAAAGTTGATTTATTGACAGGATTTCCTATCTTCACAATGGCAAAGCTCATATAACAGTTTCAACAATATGAAGTTTATTTACAACAACTATGAAACAAGTGTATGCAACTCATATCAATCTCTCATTTCGCTATTCACTGTGTCACCAGACCACCCCAGTTTCAACAGATGAAGGGGCCGGCTCACTCAAGTATCATTTTTAAGTACTATTTCACTAACGTTACCTACACATAGTAGACTTGACACCCAATTATTTCACATATTACCACAGAATGTCAGCGAGTACCCGATAGAGTACATACATACTAAATAGCAAGTAGGTGCATCTGTCTAGTTTATTACCAAAGTTTGTTATAGAGATTGCTGAAATCTTAACAAATAGGCATAGAATCCTCTAATATCAATCTTAACCTGAGCAAAAGTCTGACCTATTATTCACTGCCCCACCAAATCAATAGGGGATTACATTCTACGATGAACAGCACAGATGTGGAAGGAATTTGTGGACAGATGACTCGATGTGTGCCCTAATTATTATTATATTTTTTTAATGATTGTATTGTTAAATGAAATATTAAGAACATATAATTTTGAATCAATCAGATGCTTCAGTAATATTAACAGTACCTGTTCTGTGTCTTCCCATTACTTACTTGATAGAGATTACTTTTTTTGGAATCCTGGGATCTTTTGTTGGCTGAAATAACAATAAGAAAATATATATCAATAAACTGCCAATCCTTTTTTAAGTGGATGCAATGGTATAATGTACTTACCGGTATGTTGACACAGGTTTAATATGCTGTTAATTATATATCAACAAGGTTGATTCACTTGTTTAAAAATCAAGCTGAAAAGACTAGAGAAACCAGAAAATGTTATATGGCCATTCAAAAACTTAGCTAGGAGTTGTTTCTTTTTCTATTGATACGAATGTTTGTGAACCAAATTCAGAAATAGAGCCAACAGCCATTATTATAGAGTTACATACTTACAGGACATCTAAATCTCACACTAACAATCTTCCCACATGTCTTAAAAAGCTTCATCAGGTCCTGAAACAAAATAATATGCATCCTGAATCTTTCATGAGTTTTAGTTTCATTTGAGATTTGAATTTTTTCTATTTTGTTTGTGAGCCCTTGGTAAGTTAATAATTTTCATACTAATTATATAATTTAAGATAACTTATTTCGTTACACCACCAAATCTTTGTAAATACTAATACAGTGATAAAAGATGTTTAAAAAAATCAATTATAAAGAGATGTTACACCACATAACATTACAATTAATGTATGACAAAATAACGTATTGGCGAATTTTCTGAATTGTCGACAGGAGAGTTCTTATGGCAGTAAGAATACAACACACAAATAGTTTACAAGGGACAAAGTTCAACTGTTACTACTTGTTATGAGAAATGACTGCTTACAATAATTTACTTGTAATAGGCCAATAAATAAGGTTAAGCACATTACTTTTTATCTGATTTAGATGAGGTTCAAACTGGGATCTAACTTGATTTTGATTGTTGCCATGCAGTGATGGGGAAAACCACAAGGTTAAGTACACCATATATTTATTAGATTTAGATGAGGTTCATATAGGGTATTGGACTAAACTTTGTAACTAAGTAGAGAGTTTTACATCATCATGGTCACAACCAAAATATTTTTCAATTCTCTTACATATATTTATAACTTCAGGATTATCCATGTATAGAAATAGCTTCAGTACTGAATCAGAATCATCTCATTGTGTGTATATTCAATCAAAAGAACTTTGACCAAAAATTTAGTTCCCGACAATCATTTTCAATGTATTTAACTCCAGGTCTGTTCATTGAGGTCATGTTTGATAAAACCAAAGTCAAGAAAATCTTATTCAGTCTTTCTTATAACAGATAATTATGCACCCTTTTGTCAGCAAACTAAGGACTGTATCAGTAGCTATAGGCATGCTATATTGTTGTTCTCTGGTATTGTATTATAAGGACAAAGAGGAAACCTTTTTCTGTAGTGACACAGGCCAATTCCCCACAAAAACTGTTTTTGAGTCATTTGTTTCATCTCTGATTCTTATTTTCCTGTTTTTCCTTTGTGTATCTCTTGGATTCTTGGTGTTTTCTGTTTCCTCTTTAATTTTTGTTTCTTCTTTTGAGACGCTTTTCCCTTTCGTTTTGTCTGTCTTTTTCTTTCTTCAGAACAAATGAAAACAAAATTGAAATAACAAAACATTGTATTTTCTTGTGTATATTTCTCGGTAAGACATAGTACCTTTGTTGCATTAAATTCATTTATTAATATGACTGAACTACCTACATACAACTTCAACCAGCACTTTGAAATAAATTTGGCACATATTACTCATCTTTATTTTGTAATTAAGTAATAAATCTTTTACCATATTTTTACACAGGGTGAATATGTATTGTAAAATTCAGAATTTACTTTTTCTGAAAGGTTTCATGGACAATGCCAGGTGAGGCTTGATATCCCTCTACATCGTCAGACGAATCATTTTCCAAGGTGGCTTTAGATTTTGTCCTTTGATTATTCTGTGCTGCATTCTGAAAAAAATGCCACCATTAAAAAAACCCTTTACAGTTATAATGTTTATGATGAATCAATGTACATGTATTCACTTGTCAGATACTGGGTTTGAATTAATGTATTTGAATACTACTTCCTTTAGTGAGGGATTTAATTTGAATGCATTTGTGAATCCAAATACTGAACATTTTCAGGAGGAAACAATGCCTGGATAGATCACCAGGCTTTTATCCATATATTTCAAATTAACAATAAGTAATTCACAAGATGAAAAAGTTGAGTTAGATAATTTTGAAATATTATGAATGTGTATATTCCGTTAATAGGTACAGTCCAAATGTCATCCCACTTAGCATCACGACTAGAAACTGTTTTTTATAACTTTGATCCTGTTGGTCTTGAAAATGAGTAAAGGTCTCTTATGTATGCCCAAATTTAACAGTACTTAAACATAGCAAACTAGAGGCTTAATATCATCACTCTAAGAATCGCAGTTCTTAAGAAGTTACTAGGGGTGATCTCTGTGATCTTGAAAGTGGGTCAACCCAAGGTCATTCAGTTGAACAAAAAAGTTCTTCATACTAGCAAGCTACATACCAACTGTCATGATTCAAGGTCTTAAAAGAGACTGAAAATGTGTAGAGTCGATAACAATGCTCTGCATAAACCACAACATAGATAATACCTCTGGACTAAACAGAGATGCCAACTTGGCTTTCACTTTGGTCTTTTTTCCTCCATCTGTGTTTTTCTGTGAATGTTGAACAATAACATCTGTCAGAGCACCTGGTTTATATTTCCCATCCATGGCAACAGATCTCTGTATGGAAAGAAACATGCAGCATTGTAAAGGATACAGAATTCTTTTAAAGTGTACATGTATGCACACACTGATCAGAACTTTTTCTTACACATTCAGACTAGTACCTGGTATGTATACTTCAGAATATTTTAACAATTAGGTTATAACTAGCATATTATCCAAGTGATTTTTGGGACAGATATATTTTTTTAGTCTTTATAATGCTTTTCTAAGTCACGGACTCGTCCATATTTTGAAAACCCAGTTCAGGACTCAATTTGAAAAATCCTAGAAAAAAACCATCATAGAAGCTTTTACTACTGTCAATACATAACCCTGATTGTTTTTCTCTTTTTTTTCTAACCAATTCAAGGTGCATTCAATCTACCAGAACACCCAAAAATACTGTATGAGTCACAAGGTGACATTGCCTAAAGTTTCAACTTGAACACTGGGTACAGGTAATCATCTTGTGAAGCATCAGGAATCAACAAAATGTAGATTGTAAGATACCATGCTGATTGCTTGGATACCAAAAACAGTTGTATTTTGCTTTTGGTGTGGTCAACCAAGGGACTTAACTCTTCGTGTTTGCCAGTAAATACACAGGCAATTTTAGTAGTACAAATATGTAGTATATTTGGTGAAATTCTAACATAATGTACAGTTAACAGTTTAGTTGATATAGCAATGTTAAAGTGATGAATTACAGTAACATATCAGATTAAGATTCAAACGTGGGACCTCCAAACTTTGAAAGTGATCAATCTTTAAATACAAAGTGATTTGAAACAACTTGAATTGGTTGTATGTATGTGATGGATCCATATTTTTACAGTTAATCTTCCATCCTTTTTCAGTGATTGCATTAACCCTGTTTTTGTATGAATTAAAAAACAAAAAACATGTCTTAGAAGCTTAAAGGACAATTATTATTTTAAAATTTTGTTCCTACGCCAGCAAATAACACAGACCACGAGTGTAAACACGATGCAACTTTAATGTAGAGGCGGAAAAGAGAGCGCATTACATAATAATAGAACCAAAGCCGGATCGCCGAATCCGGAATACTAATAACTGGCGTGATCCTTTTTTTATTTTTTTTATTTTACTTAAAGGATTAGTTTCATTGGCATTGAAACAGATTCAAAGTTACACATCCGGAATACTAATAACTGGCGCTATTATAACCGTTTGCCTGGAACTCAACTTTTCAAAATGCAAACACCATCAACGTTTTTGTTCAAGTTGCATTCCAGGTTCGAAGACCTGTTTCAGGTATCCCTTTTATTGTACATCAAAGGCTTTGACTCTTTTCTATGTTCAATCGGGACGTGCATGTTAACACTGACAAGGATTTCAAAAACGTAATATGAATCTTATAACTCTACATGAATATTCTACCAAATGAGCTAAATTATAGAGCTGGAGAATGGCAATTCAAAGGAATTCAGACTATTTTGAATAGAATAAAAAAACTTGTGAATTCATACAGCAATATTGGGCATGAGTACTTTATAATTATCAGGTTGGGGGAAACCATCAACTTGCGTATAATATGCAAACTCGCCTATTTTACGCCAGTTGGAGTATGGATTTGTTACTAAAAATAACCCAAATCGCTTTAACAGTAACTTTTGCAAGATATTATTAAAATCACATTAATTTACGACAAGGTAAATAATATTTTGCTAAAAGATGTTTACTGAAAGCGTTGGTTACTTAGAAACTTGATGTAACTTTACCGGAAGGTATTGCATCTAATTTTGGTACTCTCCCACATGCAAATAAAGTTTATTTTTGCATTAGTATTATGTTTCATGACTGAATAAATGCGACAATTTGAAAAAGTTAAGAATAAAGTGATTTTGGCTATTTTTAGTAACAAATCCATACCCCTATTGGCGTATAATAGGCGAGTTTGCGTATTATTCGCAAGTTAGTGGTTTTCCGCAACCTGATTATATATCATTTACATTGTACATTTACATTGTATATGTCGTAGTTACCAATGGCATGAAACGACATTATTAATATCGAGTGAGTGTCTCCAGTCCTTCCTTTTTTCAAATGTAGGAATGATGTTCATTAATTGGGGCATTGGGTTTTTTAGATACCTAATTACCAGTATGATGATTCTGAATGGAGGCTCTACAGTCCTCAGTAACTGTCACTGTGTTCAGTTTTACTTCATCTAACACTGTATGTTGTTGTTAATCTGCTTCTACACTGTTCTATACTATCCATGTTTCAATGCCGTAAACTGCAGGATAAATCTTGAAGTATAATTACTAAAATATATCAGCTGAAAAACATCACACTTTTTTAGAATGCATGTTCGATTTGTTCAGGGATTATACATGTAAAGGGATCACGATGGATTTGTTCACAGTCGTGACGTAAAATTATAAGCATAACATATATATGATACATTTCCTTATTTCCTCATACCTGGTCTATGTACGTACCGATAGTTAAATCTTCTAGGTCTTTTTCACATGTGGATTTCACATCAATCTGCCAAGCACATGTCACAGGAAAACAAATTGAAGCGACACCTGTCGGCCAAAATTGGGTTATTCATTACCCGGATGTAAACTTCTCCAAAATGGCGTTGGTGACAGGAAAGATTGAAAAGGTGTAAATTTTGTTTCCTGTGAGGTGTACAGGTATGCATTTTCATATTTCACATATCTAGCAATACATTTTTCTGTTCACAAACAGTTTTGTTTGCTCAAAGTGTATCAAAAATGGTCTGATCTCGCGTTTACCTGAAAGGTGACACTCCGGGGTGTGTGGATGGTCCGCATTCCAGTGTCATCTTTAGGAATGTTACTTGACTCATATTGCTAACTGTATCCCTCAAATCGTCTACGTGTATATAAACCATACATACATTTGACCGTTATCTTACCATCTTTTACTTATAGCATCATTTCAATATCGCCTGTACTTGTGTACGTGTATTAGAATCTCGGCTCACCTGTTTGACCTAGATATACTTTCTAACGATTGAGTCGGCACAGATTTGTTTACGGTATTTTGTGTATTCAATGTTTTGCCAAAATGCAGTATTGATGACAAGATTGAATGCATCTATAGGCAAACCTTATAAGTATACTTTCAGCTATTTTTTCCAATCCCACTAAATTGCGTTTTACTTGTATTTTATTAACAAATTTAACATATAAAATTGTTGGTTTAAAGGCAGACACAAAACATTTAGTAATCTTTTAAATCTTATTTTTTTTACTGTCCTTTACTTATAATTTATAACCCAACGTAATAGAGCAGGAATGATAATGCTGGTGTAATTTAAGACCCTCCTGGTGTAGTATCCCAAATCATCAAGTCAAAATATTATTTAACTTTTATCTCCATCTATAGTCAACCAAGACCTTTAAATAAAGACTCATTCTTACAACATGTGAGAAATGAGAAAACAAAGCTCTTTTAGATCCAATGTATGTTCTGGATATATAAAAAAATAAGTTGCTCTCACCAACTGGTTTTCCTATCCAACTGTAGTCAACTGGCCCTTTATATATAAATATAATCAGACTACTATGGTACATGGAAAAAAAAAACACAACATTTTAGATATCGTGGGGCAGCTACATCTTTTTATTGACTTGCCTTTGAATGCTTGCTTCAATATAGTTTTGGAGTAATTTATTTCAAAGTAACAAATTCGGACACACTTAGTTCCCAATACTAGTAAAAGTAATCTGTTAACAATTTATTGAGGCTAGGTATCAAATTTATATTGGAATTTGAACAGATGATTAATTATTTGGCTGATTTATATATATATATATGATGTGTTTTGTTGACATGATTTTCATTCTGTTTTTGAAATTTGTTAAAAAGTCAAATATGTACATTGATAACAGACAGCAATGTTCACAATTTTTCAAATGCTGTGTCTTTTGCAGTTACCAGTACATGTACTAATAATTTAATAGAGGTTAAACTTATCATTATGTTTGGGAATATGGAAGGTGTGGTTTTCGTGTCATCTGACACGTCATGGTTCTTACCCTTAATCAAATTCTAAGGGTAGAATTTCTGTGCCCTAACCTATGTATACTTCATCAAGTACCGTGGTAATGGTCAAATTTAGCGAAGTACTTTAATATACTCTGGCCTTCCATGCAGATAGTCAGGGTTCAGAGCCATATTGGGTTCGTTGTGGCATGGAATGTTCAGGTGAAGTTCTCATTTTGGTTCCTATTGAAATGATCTTTTCGGGCCTCATACATCTTTTTAATGTATATATTCCTATCACATAAATATATCACACATTGTGCATATATATACAAGTAAATAAATAATATTTATATATTAATAATTTAATTTGTTTACTTTCGTATGCTGATATGGTTTATATATATGCATTTAGATAATTCAATGGTAAGCGATTGTATATTTTTGGTTTGTGTTTTAAAAGGCATGTCTATTTTACATATGTTTTGACTCTCTGAAATTGCTAAAATGTCAAAGGTCAACTGGAAAACCCTGGCTTTAAATATTGCACAAATGTCAGGTCATCGCTGAGAAATGGAGGCAATCAAACTCCATAGAGTGGTTTAGGTATAAGAATACCTAGAAAGAGTTCCTTGTTTCAGGATGTGAAGGTACTGAAAACTCTTTTCATCAGTTAAGTGACTTCATTTCTGAATTAATTCAAGTACAATATCTTTTTGTATGCCTTAAACCAGATTGTCTTTAACAAGGTCGGGTTATGATTTAAAGAAAACTTTTTTTGCAACTTCATGATCAGTTCTGATTTAATTAAGATCTTCATGTAATGTAAATATATGAGAAAACCTCCAACGAGTTGTGTTTGAAGATGTACCATTTGCAGAAACCTCTCTTTTTCATGTTGAAAGAAATGTGTTCCTAATATGTTGAAAATGAGTATGATAAATCTTAATTCTAATGTGGCATATAATTAGATAATTAATACTAATGAGGTAGGGAAATTCCTGGAATTTGAAAGCATCGGGCCATTTTCAGCAATTTTTAGTCAAGATCAAAACTAAGAGGGGTTATTGTATGTAAAATTAAAAGAAAATTAGAACATGGATGGGTCAATTTCAATATGGAGGGGTCAATGACCCCATGGACCCTCCAGGATTATCCTGAATTTTATTGAGGAATGTCTATTGCTGAAATCTAGACAAATGCTTAAGATAGCTAAAGACATGCTACAGGTTGCAAAAATGAGGCTACTAAAAATGTAAATATGATGGGCCTTGTTATTTCAGGTCACTAGATTGATTCCCTTAGTGAAAATTTTATTCCAACCAAGAGAAGTGCTGCCTTGCTGTCAGCCTTTTGGTTGCCTGCATTGAGCAGGCCTTGTGTGTCCACTTGTTGTTCTTGGCTACTTTCTGTATTTGCATATTATAACTATAACTAAGGCAGTGTTCCCATTCATGCAGAAATGTGCATGATTCGCGCATATTTTAAATAAATCACTTACAGATTTTGTGTGCCTTATTTGACCTGCACGCGCAGAAATTTGTGTTTCTCGCATTCAAAATATTCTCAAAACAATTTTATATTCCACCTGGACGAAATGTTATTTACAAAAGGTGATAAAACTAGTCGAAGTCAAAAACGAAAGTTGTGAGATTTTCTCGGCAGGTAGTCTTGCTCATGAAAATGCTTTAATATGTAACTCGTTATGGTCCACTCGCTTGGATGGTGAAGCGCTTCGACGACCCAGAAGAATATACACAAACAAATTTTGAAGCAAACCACGCTAGCATGCTGCCCTGCCCCCATTGCATGATCGTAAGAGACGAATGCTTTCTATACAACTTTCTTCTTCCTAATGTCTCCCTTGCCAATGTACATGTACTCCCAAAATCTGCTGGTATACCCCCATTTTGCAAACTTTAGGGTACCGAAACCCCCAGATAGAAAAATGACTGGGAACACTGCTAAGGCATTTTGTGACATTTTCATTTTTTTTTAATTCCCATCAACAATTCACTGAAAACAGTTTATTTGTATAAACATTTACAGATTGGAAACCTATTAATAAATTAATTTCGGCACAATTCGAAATACTGGTACATATATTATGTTTAGAAATGTTGCTTTTGTATATATATGTATTTGCATGAAGCAGATAAATAATTTTTGGGATTTTTTTTTTTTTAACTTACTAAAAAAACCTGTGTGCACTATTATTAGATATTTGCTACATGCATGATCTATATTGGATATAATTCAGCATTGCCTAGCTATCACTTTGTGAATTTATTAACATTGGAATTTGCACTAAAAAAAAAAGTTCTTTCCTAACTACATTAACAGCACCTTGTTTTCTTGCCTTATGATGGCCAGTATTATCTGTAAAGATAACACCCTGGCACTAAATGGTCAGGAAGAGGCATGCAGTTATGCTGACTTATTTATATTTTACCCTTCCAAGATTGCAGTTTATCACCTAACACAGTTCCCAGCTGAGTCATATTTCATGGTTGGTATCAAATTCGTTTTCCTCAAAGAAGATATTTGATGTGCCTGGATAGTTTAACCTAACAATTCCTAAAGCGTTATCTTTTCCATCCATGGTTCAGTGATATCCCTAGAAAAAAGCCTTATAACAGAGAATACACCTAGATATTGTTTGGAGCACCAACTGTTGTCCTTATCAGCTGGCCTAGGCACTTATTGTAGAGTAATTACTGTGCATCTGCTATCTTTCATGGAGTAGTATAGCTTGGGCAGTTTGGAGGCTGAGGCAGGGACTGAAGTATATACATTTATATGTCTGTATCATCCTTGGCTGGCTGTATGGATTACTACCCAGGCCTGTTACTGGAATTAGTGGGATATTAGTGAGGAAAGCAGGAAGAGTCAGTATGAGGTAATTCCAGAACGATTTGCAGCATCGACAATAGACTCATCACTTTGTATTGGTGCCTAAGAGCCTGGGCTTGTTTGGTAGGACACTGACATTCTGCATTATCTTGTGAAGCTGTCTCAGTTCTGTTGCTAAAACTTGTGTGTTTGATTTTGCTATTCCCTGAAACAATGTAAGTTGATTTTTATTCATGCTAACTATACATGTATTGATGATCAGACAAACTGATGAATTAATCATTTGAATTTTTGAGTGATTTTTATGTAAATTGAACTAAATCACAATTATTGGAGATTAAAAACTTGAAAAATTAGCCTAATTTATATGTGGAGCCCTACTATTCCATGTAGTATAAATTGTTGGGCAGTATGTAAACAACCTTGTGTTGGTCAATGAGTTTGGCTTGTGACCAGGCCTGGGTCCCTGGAGTTGTCTTGCTGTTGGATAGATTGTCCATCATGGTCATAAGAAGACTTTAGGAGAATGTATTGCTGGTTTTGATTTATGTTAATGTGTATAATAATATAATAGAAAAAATAGAGGGAAGTGGAAAGGAACATTAACATATGGGCAGTTCAAATCTAAAAAGCTTAATGACTACATTAAATTGAGTAAAACTGTCTTCCAGGAAACAATAAAAAAGACCCTATATTGAGAAGATGGGTCTGAGACCATGTCTATTTCTGAAGCATATGGAGGTGCTATTAAACCAAGTCCAGCTTGACATTTTTTCCAGACAAAAAATCTCAATATTTTTTTCACCCAAAAAATACCTGCACACTTTACACGAGTGTGCACAATATGCGAATATTAACGGTAGTTGTGACAGCAGTTAGATTATTGGTATGGCCATTTCTTGAAAATCACAGAAAATCAGTTGGAAGCTAAGAAGTATTGTAGATTACATATCTAACCCCCTGGACTGGAGGGTTATAACTCGCTCAACAGCAAATTTGGGCGGAAAAAACATGGATGTAGTGAAGTTGACAACTCTTTATACAAATAATGTGTAGAAAACATGGAGCAGAGATATGCTCTCAATATTTATATATAAATGTATTAAAATTTATGGCTGCTAGTTATAATTATCACATATGACAATGCCTTTCAAAAGATTTATTTGTAAAACTTTCCACACATTGTGACTAAGGATGAATCAGATTGTTCTTTGAATTAAAAGAATTATTTCGGTAGATACCACGCTACCAGTGATATAGAACACATTCATCCGTTCAGTTGAGCACGCTTATACATTATAGTTCAGTATTATACTGAATGTGACACAGCTGCTTGTTTGTAAACTGATACTCCTACAGTTAGTGCCTACTATCTACACATAATCTGCATGTTTATCTCAGGCAATTAGGAAAGCAATAAACTTGTTAATTTATATTGCATTAGCTGTAAGTTATTGCCAGTTTCCCACAACTGAGTTTGGAGGATGTATTACCTGATGTTTTCTGGCTCATAAACAGGTCTAGAGTGTGTGTCGGGCTACATGTGTGATGTGTTACGCATGTTTGTAGACATATCTGGCATGTTTTTACCTTATCCATCAACACCCAACCATATATAGGTCTTATTAGGGCAATAATTGCTCAGTGATTGTCGAAAAACACTTAAAATAACTAGGGCTTTAATTTTTGTGTATTTGAGAGGTTAGATATTGAGAATGTAATGCCACCATTGTTTTTTTAGCCCTTTATCAGATCTGTACAGGACAAAGGCTAGACATTGTGTGGATGTACCATTACAGATCATCTTTTTACCTATGTGTAAATGCTGACACTCCAAGCATTATCTAGTTGACATAAGTATTTATCACGGTATAATTCTTCCCTAATTATAACAGTACAATCAACACAAAGCTCTGGTATGTAGTGGTATGTGGGTAGACCTCACCTACATAATCCTGAAATGTACTGAATGGAGTCAATCCTTGTATACACCTGAGCTAGTTACTTTTAGTATGTCATTATACTAGTAGGCTACATAAAACGAAGTACTATCATATTGTATACTGCTAATTAAAAGATTAAGCCATTAAAGGTAAGGTTTGATTATTAAGGTTAATTTCAATCCTTTGAACAAAAGTCTGCCTTTTAAATACAGTCTGCAATACCCTGGTCAAAGTGATGGTTATCCTGATTTCAGAAGCATAACTTACATATGGTGGCTGTGAAATGCCCAAAGGAATTCTTCTACTGTTCAGATACTGCTTATCAAGATCTAACAGTGCTGGCCTGGCTCCCTTCATACTGATGTGATATATATATATAGTCATACATACATCTACATGTACCACAGACTTACAGTTGGGAATTTTCTTATATTACAGGCATAGAAGCTGAAAATAAAAAATGGTATAACAGAATCTTAAAACAAGTTTCAACAGTTCATATCCTCCATAGACCACAGTATTAGCACTTACCCGTGTCCATTAGATATATATATAGTGGTATCATAAAGTTTACGACTGATCAGGTTAAATACCCCACCTATATATATTCAACTAGACTGGAGTACCTGTAACATTTAATGTGACAGCTCTAAAAGGATGATTTTATCTCCAAGTACCCAAAGGTACACATTTTAACATAAGTAGCTGCCTCACAGTATATAAGGTCAAGCTGATTTGCAAATGATCCCAAATGTTTTCCTATCATTAAAAGTTTAAAAAAAAAATCACTTGCTAGCAAGAAGACTGTATAAGGAATTGTGGACATGTTAAAAAAACTATTAAAATGCATACAATATATCTAAATCTGATTGTCTTTTTTGAATGATACAAAATAAAACTAATTTTACATACATGGTTATATACTCCAATGAAAAATTTCTCCATATTACTTCAAAGTGCCAACCAACTTTAGAATCTGAACTAGATACCCAGTCTGTATGGAATAATTCCTTTTTCAACTTAGTATTGAAAAAAACCTTATGAATAGCCCATATCTGTACCAAAATTTGTTAAAATATGTTCACTTTTACCTCTGAACATCAGTATTACCTGTGATCAGCAAAGCTAGCTCAAATCATGACCAAACCATAAAAACAGCACACCTTAAAGTTTGCCGATAGCTTGAAGCAAACCATTACATTACTGGCGTACATATGGTCAAGCACTCTACCTACCCCAGTATCTCCATATTGTGTAACTCAACAGCAAATCTGTGATCATATTACATATGGAAACTGAACGTTAACAGAGACTGCAAAACAAAAACATACACTATAATTCAAATATGAAATTGTTGTGTACAAATATTCTGGCAATATTTGACTGTTGAGATCATATCATTTGACTGAGCACCAGTGATAAATTACAGATTAAGTATTGAAACATGTTGCATACATCAGTCAAAATAAGTTATGGGTACTTGATCCCCATCAGATCAGGGTTAGGTATTCTCAGATTACTCATAAAGTACCAGTTCTTAATATCATCTCCAGAACCTACACATAGTCATATTATAAGGTATTGTGCATTTATTCATTGTCTTATCTTTTTCAGAAATAGACTGAAAAATGTTTAAGAAGAAAGGAAAGAAGATAGAAATCTCTACACCATCCAACTTTGAGCATCGTGTGCACACTGGCTTTGACAGGGATCAAGGGAAGTATGTAGGCCTCCCCCCACAATGGACTGGCATTATCATACCAGAGGAAAATGATCGACGTAAACCCATCATAGATCCATCCACCATTACACAGACAGAGATCCTCCCTCTAAAGGTACAAGATAAAATTGTAACAACCAGGCATTGTGATAACCAGTAACCTCAACCTTCCAAATACTTCAAATAAAATCTGGAATTTATAAACATCTAACAATTTTTAGCATAAACTTGATTGAAGTCTTCAGATTCCGTAAAAGAAATTCAAATTTATTTTGTCTTACTTATTTGAATGGAAAATAAAACCATTTGGTGATGCACAACAAGTATGAGCTTTAGAATAAAAATTAAATGTTTGATATGATATTTATTTAAGAAAATATTTACTTTGTTCATGAATGAGGTTGAAAAGTATTTGCAGTTTCTTGTAATTATTGTTTCATTTCCAGACAATTATCAGAGGTCATTCCACACAACAATTAAATGGCTTTGCTCCATCAGACAGTAAAATTTCTGTGGCGAGGTCCAACTCTTTACGGCAGAGCAGCCCACCACCACAGAGACAGAGGTACGTTCCTGACAACATGTATCCACCTGTACCTGAGAATGAAATGCCTCCTCAGCGAGGAATGCAGAATCCTTATGGACAGCGCCCAGGATATGGTCAGTCACAGTACAGACAGGATGGGGGCACCCTGAACCGACAAGACCCACAATATGATCGGCGTCACCCACAGGACAAGGAGCCCCGTAGAGAGTACAGAGATCCCTGGGATAGGGATCCTAGGGATGGGAATCCCCGTGACCCAAGGGACATGCATGACCAAAGAAACATGCGTGACCCTAGAGACATTCCCCCAGAGTATCGTGGAGGTCCTCCTCCCGGTAACAACTACAGACCAGACGGTACAATGGAGCGAGATAGGAGATCTGAGGACAGTTATGATAGACGGCAAAATGACTCTTTTGAAAGGAAACATAACGAATCTTTTGATAGTAGGCGAAACAACGAATCATTTGAACGCCGACATAATGACTCATTTGCTTCCGATGGTTATCGTGACAGACCACCTCAAAACATGCCACACCCCAATGCCAAATACAATCAAATGCCAGCAAATGGTGGCCACAGCCCCTCGGCCTATCCGCAGGATGACCACAGGCACAATCAGTTGTCTAATGGAAACTCTATGCACCCTCAGGGTGGCCCCCAGCGACACCATCCCTCACAACACCACCCTGACATGCCGTATGGTGCACAGAAGTCCACAGCAGGACTACAGTACGAACGGGTAAGTTTACAACGATATGTCAATGTAATGTGTGTGTTAATGTGTCCTGTTTTGAGGCATGAATCCCTATGCAGTTTAATTTGATATGTGTACTTAATTGCTTTCAATGGAAATCTATCTGATTCAGGATATATATACAGATATATATATATATATATGTTACAGCAATATCATGTAAAGTTGGGTATGTGCCCTTACCAATTACAGCCAGGTAAAATGCCCTAGCAATATGCTGCGTAAGTTGAGAGATTATTTTATTGATGTGAACGTAGCCACCTGTTGTCTGAAGTTCAGGTTTGGACAGATTGTATATAGAACTGTTACAGGTATCCTTAATGTTGATTAAACAACCAGGCCCTTGGATGTAATCTGTAGCCAGACCCAAATATTGAAGGAGTCCTATATATACGTATCTGGAAAAAAGCAAAGCTTTATGATACTTGTTGGTTTTCTTTCTAAGGAATTAGAATTACAGTATTATGATTCTTATTACATATACGTAGCTAAAATAAAATACCTCTGACAAATTTATTGGTAATGGTATTTACTGGGTACCTGTATAACACCTACTGCTGAAAGACAATCTAAAACCGGGTTACAGTTTTTAAAACTTCCATACTATATTTTTGATTAACAGTATATTATGTAAATTCTTAATCAAGGAAAAAAAGAAGGTTTCGGATCGATTCATTTATGTGGATGGCCAAGTTACATTAATATTTTACATGTGATAAGCATGCTGTTTATTAACAGTTAATCACTGTTTGTCGCATGTTCTTTTATAAGAACCTAGTATGTAGGAATTTAATTTATCTTGATGCATGAATGTTGTTCTAAATGTATTTTTTAAATGAATGAAGCCTGTAGATACCGTCAATACAGACTACAGTTGTACATTCCAAACATGTATGTACTGAGTAAAAAGTTTGATCTCAAAGTTATAGTCATACATGTATTATTTGTAATTACCAGGTGTAATTTGTTATATTATTTAAGTGTACGTAGGATAAACGTGCTAGTATATATTGCTGATGTGTCGACTGTTAGATGTGCTCACACTTATATACATATATAGACACCTAAGACAGATTTCAGTACAAGACCTTGTGGTTGTTAAGATAATTTCACATTGATAATATAAAACAGATGTTGGGATGCGTATACCAGTTACGATTTTAGCTCAGCATTTCACAAGGCTACATCTCTGATTTTTCTGTAGACATCTTCAGATTACCATTCTACTTGAAATGAGGATGCAGCTGTGCACTTAGGAAGTTGAGAAGTGCTAGTTAATGTTGTGGGCTGTTCCTTAACCACACGATATGTCATAGTTTTAGGCATTCCTATATCTGTTATAAGTTTTAGACATTTTCTAGTCTGTTGCATATGATAATGGTACCGTAAAATATGCTTAAAGGAAAGGGGAGGCAATTTGTTAAGATTAACATGACAACTTGATAATGTAGCATGTTGGATGCATGTTTAAGTTAAATTTTATTTCAGATTGGATAACATGGCATGAATACACCAGGAAATGCTTGATTGTGTACTGCTTATTGTTTAGTTTTAATATTTAATGTTAGAATTGTCCAAATAGGATACAATGAGTTGTGTATACATAAAACAACTGTCAAATGTTACCCTGTCACTGATGTAGAGATCACGATTGTAACAGCCTGTAGTACAGTGTACACACAGTCACTGTAGCTGTACAGGTGTCGCCAGACATACCCAGATTACTGAAACCAGTGGTGGCAGTACTGTGATGATCAAACTCAAACCTTGGTCCTGTGGCGTGTCATTAGTTCTTAAGTAAAACCAGTACTGTGATCAAAATAAAAATGTGCTCCTGTGGTCTGTCATTGGTACTTTACTAGCATGTTGTGATATTAAAAACACATCATAAACATGATATTCACATGTACAGTTTGAGTGGCCCCACAAGCACCTGATACGACAGGGTAACCTAGGACAGTTGTTCATGTTGGACGACAGACTGCCACGGCTTTCGCATCGTTGTGTATATATATGTACCATGTTTTTCCTTTGTTCCTGAAGTCACCTATGAAGGGCGGACCACCTACTCCAAACAAACCTTCCAACCTGCAGCCAGGTGCACACCCATCATCTCAGCCACCACACAAATCTCCGGGGAAAATCCCCCCCTCAAACAAAAACAACCAGCCCCCACCAGGTTCCATGCCAGAGCAGCAGAGATTGTCACATGATCAGGTTGGAATCTCAAGTTTTTTTATTAGTAATGTGGTGGTCCTAATTAGTGTGGGTACTAATTAAAAGTGTATAGCTAGATTTATATAGAATAACTGTGACTCACCATAGTTATAAGTGATGCTATACAGTAACAACAAGTAGCTATAGCTGAGTATTTCTGGTGGAGGGAACTAACACAAACATTTTGATTCACCTTTCTTATATAATAATTTAATCTTGGTAGCTATTTCAGTTGTCTACTACATTGTTTCCATTTGCTAATTAGCTAGTGAAGGTATACGTACTAGCTAGACACACTTCTATTAACCATCCTTTATAGCGACCCTATCCTACAGTACTGTTTCTCACCTTGTATCATCATAGTGTTGTCCTTCTACACTCAGCACATTTCAATGACAAAAGAGTACAGGTTCACATACCAAGTACTGCACAGGCTTTTTTTCAATGTAACAATATCGCTTTGTACTACAGTTACAAATTAGCATAAGTCTCATATTTCAATTCCTACATAAATTTCTGATTTGCATTTTAAAGTAGTGTACATTATTGAAAGTCAAATTCTTGTTAAAACTACAGTCAAGATCTTAAGTGTTCTCTACAGAATGTTTTGATGCACAATAGTTTGTACCTTATTTTTTCCAGGAAATTTAAATCATATTACTGTTTTATTTTGTGGCATTGTAAAAATATCTACAGTATTCCGTATTCATACTGTCTCTTCTTAAACTTTTTTACAATCCAGTGGATAATTTGTTAGGCCTCTTTCATCATTCCAAACGAACCCAAGTGCAAAAATATAATTTACTGAAACTAAATGTATATAGATTATAGTTTACACCTTCAGCAACCAGATTTAATAAGATTTTGTTGGTCTTCAAACTTTCGAATAGAGCATTAAAACAATATTATGAACAGTAACATAGATATAATTTTAATCAATTAAATATGTTATACGCTGATATGTTACGTATGAATATGTGATATACTCATGTGTCATGGATACATTCACGTAAGACACCAATAATATGTCATGGATACATTCACGTAAGACAACAATGCCATGGATACATTCACGTAAGACAACAATGTCATGGATAAATACACATAAGATATCAATGTCATGGATACATTTAAGTAAGAAACCAATTTGTCATGGGTAAATATGTACCAGGTAATAAAATGTTAGTCATGGATAAATTTGTTATACATTGATATGTCATATAAATAGTTCATGTAGGTCACTGACCTGTATTTTTCATAAAAGTGGAAATGGGGTATTTATATCTTTACACACACACATATACACACAATCATGGAATTCTGAAAAATATTGTCTGGTATGGGATCATAATAAATAATCATAGCCAACCCAGGTCAGGGTTGGAAGTTTGGAAACAGTGGTAGGTTTGCTCTGCTGAATATATATATATTATGTATAGTAGGCCTTTTTGCAGAAGTTTGTTTTTATTTTACAGTATGTTAAGTTGAACTATTAACCATCTGGTCTTGGCCTAATCTTTGAACTAGTTATGCATGGTATTTGTGTTGTAATGTGATAAAAGTGCTCATGGAATACACTCATTTTGATTTAGGCCACGTGTATGTCTTTGTTAGTGATGCATGTCATGTATACTGTACTAGTGATACATGTGTGCTACAAGGTGGAGAAGTGATATTGAGTTGACCTCTGTGGACGAACAAGGTCAAATACTTCAACCAGGCATAGATAATTTTAACTCTTGTAGCATATTATCATGTTACTTTGTTTTCAACCCAAATTACTAATGTCATTGTACTTGGTATCGCTTTTTGCTTCAGGTACTATGAAGATTTCAATAATTGGATTTAAATGCTATAAGTTGGTAGATCAAAGTGTTTCAAGTAAACATCCATTTGAAACATCAAATATTTAATGATTTTTATCAGCAATGTGATCAAACATTACACTTATGCGAAACTGGAATAGTTTTGTGATTATAGCTTATTGGTATAATGGTCTTTTCATATAACACATTCTAATTTTGATCCTTAAAACTTTGTGTAATTGTTTTATTCAAATGTATTGAACCGTAATTGAAATTGAACAACCAATTAAATACAATTAAATGTATTTCACTCTGTAAATGAATGCATTTACTCCCACTTAGCAATACAAATGGCCATCTGATTATCATAGACAGTTAAAAGTGCTCTATTACTACGTTATTGTTACTTGTTACTTAAAAGTTTACCTATTGTTAGACCAAGGTGATGTATCATGTTATGTGAAGCAAGGGCAAGTCTGATATGACTTGTTAACTTACCAGCTGTGTGAACATGACTGTAAACTTGTAATGCTTGATACATACAAGAAGGGTCAAACCCCTTTTATTCTGATAGCAAAAGATTGTGAATCCTTACCATCTATGCAGTATTTATGATTGCTGAAGAGAGCTTTAAAACAGGGTCCAGTTTTTGTGGTGTTTCACCTGCACCAAACTAGCAGTGATTTTATTTTTGCACTGTGTCTGTTTCTACATTTGTTTTCATAATGATTTAAACATGAATAAATTAGTAGAATGCGCTAAAACTGAAAAAATTATTTAAACTTAACTACTATACAGACTTAAAATACTGAAGTATTGTTCTCAGGCTGCGGCATCAGTTTCTACTGTTATCATGCTTGTTCTTTACTTTGTATATATGAGATTTTTCTATAAGAGTTAATTAAAGTAATTTGAATAATTTCATCTCTGACAGTTCCGAGCTGCTCTACAAATGGTGGTCAGCCAGGGTGACCCCAGAAATGACCTTGATCAGTTCCTCAAAATTGGTGAGGGATCCACAGGAATTGTATGTATAGCAACGCAACGTGCAGATGGTCAGAAAGTTGCTGTCAAGAAAATGGATCTGCGCAAACAGCAACGTAGAGAACTACTGTTCAACGAGGTCAGCAAATTTTGTGTTTGCATTTGAAAATTGATGGATGCAGATCAAGTGGAATTGATTATAAATTGTGGATAAAGAATCTGATCAATACAAGAAATAATATAACATCAAATTTAATTTAAAAAATGAAGTAAACAGAAAAGGTAAAAAACGTTATTTAAAATGTTTTAATTCATTTATCAGTATTATTTGAATTAATGCCAAAGGAAATCTCCGAAAGCAGCGATACGCTAAAGAGTTTACCGATATGAACACTTGTATAATCTTCAGGTTTATGATATAGAAAGAGATGAAAGCCGACAGCTTTTTCTTGTTTTAAAAATGTTGGGTAAGATAATTTGGCATGAGGGGTTTAGAATAAAGTGTTAGTTCCTCTGTTGCTTCTGCAGGTCGTAATCATGAGAGATTACCACCATCCCAACATAGTGGATATGTATAGCAGCTTTCTGGTGGAAGACGAGTTGTGGGTGGTGATGGAATTCCTCGAGGGTGGAGCACTCACTGATATTGTTACTCATAACAGGCAAGTGTTTATATATGTGTATATAATACTGCATCGGTGGAAAGTAACAGTTAGCTTTGCAGGTCGTTAGCTGCCATGTAAACGTTTGATCCAAAGAATTTGTTTTGATTTTCAAATTATTGAAGATCTTCAGAGTTTTCACTGTTCAAAGGTTTTGAAAAGTCTTCAATATTTTTTGGTTGCTAAAATTGAAAGTGTCTCAATGTTTTATTGTTTAATATTCCTTAGACATGTAACCTATACATCTTTAAAGATTTATTAGTCAATTTAGTTACGAAGTTTCATGTTTCACTGTTCTGATATTTTGGAGATCTCTATGGTTTGCCCAGCATTTAAAAGTGCTTAAATTGACGACGGCATCTTTAAAAAGGCTCAAATTTTGTTAACAGTTTGATAATTTGACAAATTAACTGTATATAGCTATATTAAAATGTAAATCCTTGTATAATCTTCTGATTTGTTACCTTGAAACATATCTCAACTTTAAGTCAGATTATATTCTTTGTACTGTTACTGATCATTAGAGGTATGTACTTTTCCATGTGGTGATCAATATTTTAATCATTCGTTGTTTTTTAGAATGGATGAAGTGCAAATAGCAACTGTGTGTAGAGCCTGCTTAAAGGCTCTGGCTTTCTTACACTCGAATGGGGTCATCCACAGGGACATCAAGTCAGATTCCATCCTGCTGTCCCAAGATGGCAAGGTAGGTAGTGCAAGGTTGTCGAGTACCAAGGAAACCACTAGGCCTACATATACACAGTACCATAGGAAACCACCAGGCCGACATATACACAGTACCATAGGAAACCACCAGGCCTCCATGTACACAGTACCATAGGAAACCACCAGGCCTACATATACACAGTACCATAGTAAACCACCAGGCCTCCATATACACAGTACCATAGGAAACCACCAGGCCTACATATACACAGTACCAAAGGAAACCACCAGGCCGACATATACACAGTACCATAGGAAACCACCAGGCCTACATATACACAGTACCATAGGAAACCACCAGGCCGACATATACACAGTACTGTAGTAAACCACCAGGCCTACATATACACAGTACCATAGGAAACCACCAGGCCTACTTATACACAGTACCAAAGTAAACCACCAGGCCGACATATACACAGTACCAAAGTAAACCACCAGGCCGACATATACACAGTACCATAGGAAACCACCAGGCCTACATATACACAACAGTGCCATAGTTAACCACCAGGCCTATCTTTACACAACAGTACCATAGTAAACCACCAGGCCTATCTATACACAACAGTACCATAGGAAACCACCAGGCCTACATATACACAACAGTGCCATAGTTAACCACCAGGCCTATCTTTACACAACAGTACCATAGTAAACCACCAGGCCTATCTATACACAACAGTACCATAGGAAACCACCAGGCCTACATATACACAACAGTGCCATAGTTAACCACCAGGCCTATCTTTACACAACAGTACCATAGTAAACCACCAGGCCTATCTATACACAACAGTACCATAGGAAACCACCAGGCCTACATATACACAACAGTGCCATAGTTAACCACCAGGCCTATCTTTACACAACAGTACCATAGTAAACCACCAGGCCTATCTATACACAACAGTGCCATAGTTAACCACCAGGCCTTTCTATACACAACAGTACCACAGTAAACCACAAGGCCTATCTATACACAACAGTACCATAGTAAACCACCAGGCCTATCTATACACAACAGTGCCATAGTAAACCACCAGGCCTTCTTATGCTATAAAACAGTACTATCAGACCAACAAACCACCTTATATAACAGTACTATAAGAAACCACCAAACTTCACTATAACACTACTTTCGGAAACCATCAGGCCTCCTTATAAAACTCTTTTCACCAGAAGTTTAATCTCTTTGTGAGCAGATTTAAAAGCTATATTTATTTTGTGAAAATGTGTATAAAATTCTACCTTTATATTTTAAAACTAAATCAGAGTTGCTCTTTTAGAAAAAATACAGAAAAATACTAAAATTTAATCCTTTTATGATTGTTTTCACAGGTTAAACTATCAGATTTTGGATTCTGTGCACAAGTGACTCAGGAATTACCTAAACGCAAATCTTTGGTTGGAACACCATACTGGATGGCTCCAGAGGTCATATCAAGATTACCCTATGGTCCAGAGGTATAAATATAAGGTCCTTTAATGACACTATCCTGTGATTGCTTGTGAGATTAATTAGAAGATCAAAATACAAATTAGAATCTCAGACTTTGGAAAATTAATGAAGGAAAGACATCGCTATTTGCACAAATTTTAAGTCATATCTGGTTTCAAAACTGTAGCTAGACCTTCAAAGCATAACATTGTGAAAGCCAGCCCATGTCTCAGCTACACGCTGTATCAACTTTGCTAGTCTTGATATTGACATTCTGCAAACTTCGTCAAATGGAGGAATATGTTTAATTCTTATTAAATTAGCAAAGTAGAAAATGATCCATGTAAAGGCATAACAACATAAAATGTCCTGTTCATTAGGAATGTGATTTCATAGTACACCTTACATACGATTTGTAAAGGTTAGTCATGTCAAATTTTGCAGAAAAATGTATATTTTATTCGTAGGTTGATATTTGGTCACTTGGTATTATGGTTATTGAGATGATTGATGGGGAACCTCCATTCTTCAATGAGCCACCACTCCAAGCCATGCGCAGAATCAGGGACATGCCCCCACCTAAGCTAAAAAATGCAAACAGAGTAAGTATTAGGATGTTTAAAATATCTCTTATAATGATCCTGCACCAGATGTGTGAAAGCTTGACTTGAATTTCATTAAAATGACCACCAAAGCACAAAAATTGAACATAAAGGTATAGATTTATGACATACCATTAGTTCAATTTGCTTTACATTGTGCCTTTTTGTTTGCCCAAAGCTAAGCAGAAAAATCTCTGATCCATCTGGTGAAACCATAGGAAATACAATGAACGAAAATTGCCTATTAATCAGCAAGCATTCCTATCACAAAAATGTCATTTTAATGCTGTATATTACTAAATATCAAAAATGATCTTTACAGGTATCGCCACGACTACAAGGATTCCTAGAAAAGACATTGGTGCGCGACCCTACCCAAAGGGCTACTGCATTTGAACTTTTACAGCACGCATTCCTACGGATGGCAGAAAAACCTAGCTGTTTGGTGCCTCTCATGAGGAGTTTCAAGCATAGTCCATGTTAGTCCTTCCTTGTCATCCATGGCATCTATACTCATCAGTGTGCAAGGTCCTGTTGGTGTCGCAGCAATAAAGCAGCTTGTGGTATATATATTCAGGAAGGATTCACATTGCTACCATTTGACAGAATAGCAAGAAAAAGAACAGATTTACTGAATGTTTCACATGTCTTATGAATCAGTACAGTTTATTCAATTCGAAAGTATGAATTTTAAACTGAGGAAAACAGAATGTACTTTACAGGAGAATGGGAACAGATAGTAAAATAGAAAAGACTAGCTGATTTTCAGTTGGTTATATGAATTGTTGCCATTTGTATGTCATGATTGTTGAAAATATATTTTATGATATTGAAACCTGTAATAATTTGAATAGCAGCAGGCTGTGAAAAGGATTACATATCAGGGAAGTAGTTTACAATAACAGTGAATATCGCTATCAATGTTAAACTTTTGTTATACAGCAACTAAGTGTCACATGTATGTGTTGCCAAATGTTTTGTTTTGGATCTTACTAATTTATAGATATCTTTTAATATTAAATATTATTGAAGATCAGAAATGCTGTTAAGTGAAACCTGACAATAACTTCAAAAATATGAAACATTGAAATAGGAACTGTTGTATTATGAAGTGTCAATCGTACAGGGAGTACAATGTGTATTGTATAGAACGGAGAGATAGTTAACTGTGTAGTTCATCATATCATAAACCTGTACAATGTGTATAGAACACAGAGATAGTTAACTGTGTAGTTTATCATATCATAAACCTGTACAATGTGTATAGAACACAGAGATAGTGAACTGTGTAGTTCATCATCTCATTAACCTTTACATTGTGTATAGGACACAAGATTCATCATCTCATAAGCAGTCACCGACTCAAGATAGTACAGAAACATGGTCGGTGAGATTTTCATATTCAGACAGAGGCAGCTGGCTTGTATCGTTTCACTGTCACAATAGTTGAACAGGAAGTGTTGTTGTAGATATGGCTTCTGAAAACTGAACTTTTCTGTACCACATTAACACAAAATTTATTATTGTTTCCAATTTGTATTGAAATTTGAAAATCTGTTTCGGTCATGTTCTTAATTTATGTATGTACCAAAAGACAATTTATAGATGATATTACAAGTAAAACTTACCATATCTAGGCAGAACATGTATTTCTTTTGTGACTTTTTGGAAATATAAATCGATACCTATCAATTAATGGTCAATGTTATCAACTGTGTTATGAAACAATGTGATCATATTAGAACGTACTGGGCTGAATCTCCAAACATTACCATATCATTGAGAATGTATATTAAATCTAAGGTACCGTTGTGAACTCGTTTTTAAAGTACAAATGTACTGTATTAACTATTTATTACTTTTCTTTATTAATAGAATTCTTAATATTATAAAAACAAAGAAATATTTATGTGACTTCAAGAAAGGTACACAATAAAAGTAGTTCTGTGTTTTAAACCTTCCATTTCAGACACTAGCAATCATCTATCTGTTGTGTACAATTCAAACAGCATATCAGTCATTTATCATACATATGTAGTCTACTACACCTGTGCTGTAAACTTAGAAATTGTTCAATGTTTTTATATGAAAATGTGCATTTACACTATTTTATCTTTACACTTGGTTGTTTCCATGTTTTATGTGTTTGTGAATGTTATACTGTCATATCAGCTTGTATTATACATATACTATATAACCTTTGTTGCCATTATACAAACTAAATACACTGTACATAGGTATGAACAGTTGTCACCCATAGCTTGTTGGCTTGTCTTTACTGCACATATCATGGACAATTGAATTTGGAATCGGCATCAACAGAAAGAAAGAAACTTCCATTTATGAAAAGTTTGAACATTAGGGAAATAGTTTCTGTAAGTGTTAAATTGCTATTTCCACCTCTTAATGTCATAGTGAACAACAAATCTGTCATGCTTCATTGTTTATCTAGGAAGTGTTTGTTAACTGTTAGTACTTTGCTGTACACAAGAAGCCAGTAAAGGGAAATAACAGATTTTTTCATCAGTGCTGCAGAAAGTGTTATTTCCCAGTAGTCATATTTTGTACTAAGCTTTCTGCCATCACTTAACTAATGTTAATGTTGTAAAAATGTAAATTTGAAATGTACATAAGAGTTTAGTCTAGTGTATATAGCTACTGTCCATGTGTCGGAGAGAGCACACCAAACGATGATGCGATAATTATAATATATATCCTCGTGTAATTCATCTATTAATATTACACTAAATATGTACAATTTATAATGTCTATCATTAATCCATAAGTACTGTTTTCTTTATGTTTACGTCTTCTCTTTGTCTTCAAATGTCAGAAGTGAAAAAAATATATATAATGAAAATTTATATTATTTTAAGCCATGTCCTTTTTTTGGTGGTCACCAATTGCAATGTTTCCTTTAACCCTTTCACCCCTATGTAACTTTAGTAGACTCTACCATACATTGATATGGATGTGTCCATTATGGTCTACAGTGGTGAAAGGGTTAATGACAGAGCCTGTAAATCCCACATATGACAGGAAACACTGTCTTCAAGATAATATTCCATGTTTCTTCTTGTAAATACCAGTCACTTCTCTTGTAATGTTTGCCTTGTAAATACCATATTTCATTTGTGATAGCCTCATTACTTGGTAATGTCTGCTTTGTAAACTTTACCTCACACTCACTGATCATGTAATTAATTAATTAGGATATCTTTTAGTACAAAAGTTTGAGAATGTCATGAGTTAAATTTTCCACAATTGTCGCAGCTTCTCTCTGTGATAATGAAAGCTAAAGCTTCATGATATTAAAATGTAAAACACTGGTCGTATTCCAAATACAGAATGATATGTTGGAGTAAGATATCACCCTAATATGTTGTAACATTGAGTGGTTACCATACAGGATATCTTGGATAAAATCTATTTCTTTTTCAAATAATGTCTGAGGTTGGGTTGATGAAAACACAAGTGCTATTATATCTGTAGAACAAGTACTACATAGTTATAAAGATGTAACAAAAAGGAATTACATATTACTGTTAGGAATTACAGATTGTTATTAAACTGGAAAAAAGATAATTCAGGAAAAAAGAGCATGCATTATTATTTTTGTACTATTCAAAGCACATTATATTTGCTTGTGTAGTAAAAAGCATGCAGATATTTATCCACAGAATTTTATTTTAAAACATACTTGGCAAAGACCGTCACTATATAATTCAGGTGAATAACATATTTTACCAGTATGTATTTAAATAATGACGTAGTAAACATTCCAATTTTTGTATCAAGTCAGTAATATAATGTGCTGGAGTAAATATTATATTTGGATAATGATTGGATACGTGCAGAAAAGACATTAAGTTTTTAATATTTTTTTTATAATAAACAAGATCTACTAATATTTATTGTTCATTAAAGAACTTGAAAAGCAGAGGTTATATTATTGAAGATTTAGATTATATTTCATGTTATATTGTAATACATTCCACGGAAAAAAATATTTACAAATTGATGCTGAGGGTATTTAGCATTTCTTGTGGCTGTGTATACAGTAGATATCAGTAAGTGTATATGTATGTTATTTAGCCTGTCAGAACAAAGTCATAGTCCAGCCAGGCTGGGTATTCATTTACACATATGTAGATAAAAAAGAATATGTACTAGGTACAATTTAACATCAATGTTGCTCCATTAGCCAAAGGGAGATAATTAACATCATCCTGAAGTTTTTTTCTTGGCAACTAATTAGAAGTACTTACCAAGACACATATTTTAGATTATTATGATTTTCCTAACAGTACACTTGTAGATGATTCTCTAAACGATACTTATCATACTTGTTGCATAACATGTTAATCATTTCACTTGTCAATTTAAAGGATTGATTTGTTCTAGGTAATGCTGAAAACGAAGGATGTTCTATCATTTTGTCAGATTTATCATGGTATTTGTATATTGGTAAACACGTAATTTGTCAGATTTATCATGGTATTTGAAGGGGAGACGTCAATTTCATTTTGCTGCTTCTATTCTCAAGTACCTTAAGTTACATTACAATTTTTTTCAGCCTACGTTTCCATCCAGCATTACATGACTGCACATTTCACCTTGTAATTATTCGTTTTTGATACTTTCCCTGTAGAAATGACAAGTACTTTTTTGTTGTCAGGAAATGTTGTGAATTCTTTTTTTTTAATTTGGTACTTTTCTATTCAGAGTTGGCTTTGAAAGCTTCCTTTTGAAACATTTTAATTCTAAGTTACCTAAAAAGTAATTATGTCTAGTCTCCAGCATGAGCAGATTTTAGAACAAAATATTGATAAAATTATGGTTTTTCCAGACTTAATTGTTTCAGGTGGATGACAATAATCATCCAACGTTTGAAGAACTACAAGATTGTGATTTGGTACAAATCCTGATATTTACGCATATTACAATCTGCCTGTTTTTTGCATGTTTATTTTCGGAAGAAAAAGAACTTTGTAATATATTGTAAATGTTTTTGTAATATAAAACATTCATGTTGATGCAATGTTTGTTTTTTTAAACTAGTACTACATATACACCTTTGTATTATCAACTGATTATATACAAGATGGTAATGGATTAATGATATCATTAATAAACAACAATTTTATAAAATTATGTTTGTGTGTTTTCTTGTACTTGGCCCATGGTACAATCAGACAAAACTGTCCTGTCGTGTTGACCTTCCTGTGGCTTATCATACTTATAATGGCCGGTTACATTCCTTGTGTAGGTATGCCCACCTGATCAATAATGTTTAGGTGTATCAAGTACATACTATACACAGACTGGTTGTCAGTTATCTTGTCAGCTTAAAAAAACCTTAATTGCGATATTAAAGAGATATTTTTCATAGTTAATCACATATGCAAGTTATTTCTGTTATAAAAGTGTTGTTTTGGACACGAATGCCCTTACAATGCAGAAATTTGGAAAATATTGTACAATGTATTTGGGATTTGTTTGTTAAGATTGTGAAGCTTACCGAGACTGATCCTTGGATTTCATATTTCAGTTTTATGTGCAATATATACTACACAGATGACATGAATTAATAGCAGTAGTTGTTATCAACAAATATATGCTTAGTGATGATTCTTTTTAGTCATTATAAATTTTGCTATGTTGCTTTATATCAATAAGATCTCAGACAAGTTCGAAAATGGGCCCGATCATTCAGTAACTGGCAGACTTACTGCCAATCGGAGAATACAAGATGGCCGATCGTGGCCTCTGATTTGCTGAGACGATAAATTTGTCACTGAAATTGAAGGCATGGCGGAAACGAGTTGAATGGAACACCACGTGGTTGAGACGTTGTAGGTCACTGTCGTTCTAACCGTAGTAAAGGTGTTTGTTAATACCCCCTATGATTTCTCAAGATTATCAGCAGCAATTCACTTCAATTCACTTATATATTTTTTCAAACTTTCCTTATGAGGTTCCCGATCAAGTGTTCTTACTTTTTGTGACGATCAGAAAATCCAAGATGGTCACCCTGTCCTCTCATTGACCGAGATGTTTTTGTCTTCTTCTCAAGAAAGGCTACACCGATTGACTTCTTACTTACTAGATAGAGGTATTCCTTATGAGGTTTTGACCAAGTTTGTTACTTTTCATGCTGATTGTTAAATTCCAGATGGCCACCCTGGCCTGTGATTGACTAGGACATTTACAACTTCATCTGTCCATTAAACGTATCACCTAATTCATCTATACAGCATGTGTATGCCTGGTCTCCATGTTAGTATGGGTGTATGCCCTCTCTCCAAAGTAACTATGTGCCAATTTAAAAAAAAAAAGAACATGCTACAATTTGAGTACTTCAGAATTTACTCAGGTGACCGTTTAGGCCCATGGGCCTCTTGTTTTTTTTTAACTCTTGCATACCTTTAACATACATGTAGATAAACCTTCTCTCCCTAGGCTATCCAATTATCAACCTATCTGTAATCAATATGATAACTGTAGGTCAACTTGAGAGGTCCTTTTGGTCAGACTATCGTCATATTGTTCACCAGCCAGAAGTGGAATGTTATAAACAGATGCATCATCCTCTTCACATCTTTCAAGATATAAATGGAATTCTTTATCCAATCTGTCAAGATGACGTTAATCATGCTTTCTCTATACAGCCAATATAGACAATTTTGTGGCATGTGATTAACACTGAAGGTTCCCTAATCATTTTAATCCAAAACTGATTGGCAATGCAGCATCAAGGTCTGTAATCCATTGATACTAGTCTAGGAACCGTTGTGCCTGTCCGGTTCAATCGGCTTGTCTGTTTTTAAATGCATCATTTTCCGGTATAAATCCTGGTGGACATGCAAATGTTTATGCTTTTGAGGCTCAGTCAAGGCTCGCCTGAAAGAAGCATCAGATTACCAGGTACGACCTTAATTCATAAACGAACAACTCCGGTCCAACTTGTCCAACCGTTTGGATCGCGATAAATGAATGCAGCCTAGGTTTTACTTGATGACCTCCCTCTATAACAAAACTTTTCTGACTTTGACATGATTGAAATTCACAAACATGTAGCACTCTCTTTTATGCGATAAATGTTTTGAAGATGTTTGATTTATTTCCAATGTATTTCCATTCTTCTTGCAATTAAAGGTCTGTGTAAAGGAAATCTACATATGAAAAATTATTTTGAAACTTTTATTGCACGTTCTGATTCCTAAATCATTAGGCTGTAGAAGTTCTGATTTTTTCAGTGAATTACATGTTTTGCTTTTGCAAAATGCATTGCATGTTCTGTTCATTTCGCAACGAGCACACACTGATTAAGCCTTTCATGTAGGCATGTGGTTTGGTACCTCTGTATACACAGGTAGCTTGGAGAAATTTCCCATGGATAGCCCCTGCCATTCGGAATGCTGACAATCCTTTGGATATTACTACATGTAGACAGTGTCATGTGTCCTCATCTTCCTTCTTCATCTGCTCTATCAGATGTTGCCTTTCCTGGGCCTGCCTCATTTTCATCAGTACTAGACTTTCATAGTCTTTCTCAGCACTAGACTGGTAAGCCGACCAGGTGTCTCTCTTCTCCGCCTAAAACACAAAGTCACATGATAGTCTATTCATGGCATGTAAATGGAGATGGAACACAGGAAAATGCTTTCAGTAAAGTCACTTTGTTTTTATATCAGAATAACTTGGATTGATAAGTGAAAGACTATTATTTCCTGGATTTATGAATGAAAGACTCTAAAGTAATTCTGTTCCTGGATGTGTAAGCATAATATTTGAAAAACAATTTGTGACTTGTTGAATGGAACCTGACAGTAAAAATTATGAAGCACTATATAAAATGTGATACATAGAGAATAATACATGCCTTAATCCATATTGCACCCAGTATCAACCCGAGTCTGCAATATCAGCCCAAGGGCCGCAGGCCCGAGGGCTGATATTGGTCGAGGGTTGATACTGGGTGAGATATGGAAAAAGGCTTGTTTTACTCTGTTTATTACATACTTACTAATAACAAGAGGCCCATGGGCCTTAACGGTCACCTGAGTCCTACAGTATTTATTTTTGTTGTTGAAATATGTACCAATTTGAGTAAAAAATTGTTAAATATAATGTTAACTTAACTTTGTCAGGACCATGAGTCAATCATTCCTACAAAGTTTCAATTCAATCTGCCCAGCAGAACTTGACTTTAAGTTTGAAATAGTTTTTCAAAATGGCGGCCGTGGCGACCATATTGGATTTCTGAACAACCCGAAAAATAACAACACTTTGCCAGGACCATAAGGCGATAATTCCTACAAACTTTCAGTTCAATTGGCCCAGCAGAACTTGACTTTAAGTTTGAAATAGGTTTTCAAAATGGCGGCCGTGGCGGCCATATTGGATTTCTGATTGACCTGAAAAATAACAACACTTTGTCAGGACCATGAGTAGATCATTCCTACCAACTTTCAGTTCAATCGGCCCTGCAGAACTTGACTTTAAGTTTGAAATAGTTTTTCAAAATGGCGGCCGTGGCGACCATATTGGGTTTCTGAACAACCCGAAAAATAACAACGCTTTGCCAGGACCATAAGGCGATAATTCCTACAAACTTTCAGTTCAATTGGACCAGCAGAACTTGACTTTAAGTTTGAAATAGGTTTTCAAAATGGCGAGGGCTGATATGGGTTAGAGCAATTGTGTCGTATCACCAATACAAAAAACCTGTATTTACTAGTAAGTTTGTAATAAAAATGAATAATGGTCCCTGTCAAGATTTCCCCTTGCAAACAGGTGGCACATCATGGGACATTTTTGCAGGTATATTCTATCATCACCTACCCACTAACTAAGTAATGTGCTACAAACCTGTACACACTACAGTGAATCAGAATGTAACCAACTGCAGACAGGGGAACAGCAATCAGCAAGATATGTTCAATGCATTACTTGTAATAAAATTATTTTTATGCATCTATCTGGATGACAGATTATTCACGCTATTCTGGTCTATATGGAATCATTAACATATACAGTCAAATCAGATCTACCATGTATTGTTATATAACTTTATTAATTTTACAACAATTATGAAACAAGTTATTGCAACTTATACTTATCACTCTTGTTTGCCCCAATTTTAGCCCACAAGGGTCTTAATGTGGGAGGAAACCCACATGGTCAGACAGGTGACCCCATGGTCCAAATGTGTCCATACCTACGACAGATTGTACCATTATACAGGTATCTAGTGGTTATGTGTCCATACTTAAGACAGACTGTACCATTATACAGGTATCTAGTGGTTATGTGTCCATACTTACGACAGATTGTACCATTATACAGGTATCTAGTGGTTATGTGTCCATACTTACGACAGATTGTACCATTATACAGGTATCTAGTGGTTATGTGTCAATACCTTCGACAGATTGTACCATTATACAGGTATCTAGTCGTTATGTGTCCATACTTACGACAGATTGTACCATTATACAGGTATCTAGTGGTTAAGTGTCCATACTTAAGACAGACTGTACCATTATACAGGTATCTAGTGGTTATGTGTCCATACTTACGACAGATTGTACCATTTTACAGGTATCTAGTGGTTATGTGTCAATACCTTCGACAGATTGTACCATTATACAGGTATCTAGTGGTTATGTGTCCATACTTACGACAGATTGTACCATTTTACAGGTATCTAGTGGTTATGTGACCAGGGAGAACTTAACATTATTTGAGAGTATTTGAAAGACCATAAAACTGAAGTATCTGGTACAGAATTGAGACAATTTACACACCTTGGTTGGATCTGGCACTGTAAATATGTTGTTTGCTCTGTCCTCAGACTCATCTGGCTGACTTTCGGCTTCAGAAGCAGCAGCAGGTCCAAGGGGTACAGACTGGCCTTCCAACCAGTTCAAGGTCAAAGGATTCTCAACTAACCCTTTTTCATTTTGGACAGCCATTTGCTGTAATAACAATAATTGGCATGTAAGTATCACAAGTATGGAACTGTGTGATAATATATTAGAACTGATGTATTTTGTAAACAATATCTGCTTTAATGTTTTTTTCCAAAGAGATGGACTTGTTACTTTCTGATGACTACTACTGTTTGAGAAACCTTTTTAGTCTTAATATTATAGTTGTTTCATGGAAATTTATTGATCATTTTCAATTAATAAAATAATAGATATTTAAGTGACCAATTCATGGATTAAGTAATAAATGGTATCAGGATAAACTTGACTTCACTTAAAATGCAAAATTTTCACTGATAAGTTTAAAATTATTGACAACTAACCTACAAAGTGAGTAATTTCAATATTAATTTCCAATAAATGCATGTTTCATGTTAACTTAATTTTTGAAATATATATACCTGGTAGGTATATTGTTTACAGCACAAAGAGGGATATCTTCGGTGTTGTACTCACAGCAGCATACTGAGATGACAATTCTAGGATAGCACTGCCATTCTTCTTGTTGGATATCAGCAGATTTAGGACATCACCGTACTGTAGGACAGACCAGGATACATTTCACTAATATTATCTATATACTGTACACCACTTATACTGTAGGACAGACCAGGATACATTTCACTAATATTATCTATATACTGTACACCACTTATACTGTAGGACAGACCAGGATACATTTCACTAATATTATCTATATACTGTACACCACTTATACTGTAGGACAGACCAGGACACATTTCACTAATATTATCTATATACTGTACACCACTTATACTGTAGGACAGACCAGGACACATTTCACTAATATTATCTATATACTGTACATCACTTATACTGTAGGACAGACCAGGACACATTTCACTAATATTATCTATATACTGTACATCACTTACACTGTAGGACAGACCAGGACACATTTCACTAATATTATCTATATACTGTACACCACTTATACTGTAGGACAGACCAGGACACATTTCACTAATATTATCTATATACTGTACACCACTTACACTGTAGGACAGACCAGGACACATTTCACTAATATTATCTATATACTGTACATCACTTATACTGTAGGACAGACCAGGACACATTTCACTAATATTATCTATATACTGTACATCACTTACACTGTAGGACAGACCAGGACACATTTCACTAATATTATCTATATACTGTACACCACTTATACTGTAGGACAGACCAGGACACATTTCACTAATATTATCTATATACTGTACATCACTTATACTGTAGGACAGACCAGGATACATTTCACTTATATTATCTATATACTGTACATCACTTACACTGTAGGACAGACCAGGATACAATTCACTAATATTATCTATATACTGTACACCACTTATACTGTAGGACAGACCAGGACACATTTCACTGATATTATCTATATACTGTACACCACTTACACTGTAGGACAGACCAGGATACATTTCACTTATACTATCTATATACTGTACATCACTTATACTGTAGGACTGTAATTCATGAAAGCATAGCTGCAACTGCTATGTTTAATTTAAAAATTGGTAAAAACTACATTTGTAGAAAACTTGTCCAGAAACCTAAATGAAACAGATGCCCGCAATGAAGAGCAAACAAGTAAAGTAAAGGACAGTACCACAGGTAAGGCCTCTTACTTAAAATTTTACTGTGGATTCAAAGAATACCTTTACCTTAGAGAACATGGTTTGGAGTACAGTGTAAGAATATCCTCCATTGCTTTCATCACCTTTCTTTGCTTTCCATTTGATCTGCAAACAAAACTTTTTATTTAAATAGTTCATATAAATTTTTGTGATTTCTCACAAGATTTTGTTACAGAATTATGCTGTTTTAACATTTTTCTTTAATGTTGATATGAAAGTCTCAATCTGATGTTAAGACATTTACAGTCTATAAATTTGGAATGTGTGAAATGTTTTCAATAAGAAAGAAAATTATATTCATTTTTTTCTAATATTAGCCTAAAATAGGTATAAAATTCTGAGGTGTAAGAGGTTTAAACAATCTACAATAACTCATCAATATAAGAATGAAAGGTTGTCTCACAGATTTAATTTCATGGTTCTATTACAAGACATGCATTTGACATGACACCATAACACACTGCCTTTATACTATATTCATGTGCCCAACAAGTGGAGGAATGAACTACTTATTAATTTAAAGAATAGCACAAAAAGTCCTATCATTATGATGAAACTTTTTTTTCAAAAGCAGCCACTTTGTTGAAAATCTGATTAAGTAAGTTTAGCTTTAGAGCATTTTCATACCTTAATTTTGTCAATATGATGACGCGATAATGTTTATCTAATTTTTAGTGTGTAGATCAATGAAGTTATGTTTTATCATTGTGCGTGAACTGTGGATATGTCAGTGAGGTCGTGCATATCTGAAGATTGCTGTGTTTCCTGTTAAGAATCACAGTTTACTAGAATCTTAGTCTCCCAGAAGTTTGTATGTGACTTTAACACCACTGCCCCAATACCTTCAGTTTGGGTGTTACTGTTTCCTCTTCATCTTTCTGTTTAGCTTCTGAAGTTTTTTTGAGCTCCTCCTGTAACAGTTGTTGTTCTTTTTCCAGCAATTTGGAACCTTCCTTTCTTAATCTTTCAATCTGAAAATAATGTAAAGGTATAGAATGAAACTTAAATATGAATATTTGATTAGAGATATACCTGGAAATCTTGATGGTCGATATATTATACAATAAAAATAATAAAATAATAAAATATTTTATTTAAGTGTCACACATATTTTACATAACACATCATTATACATCACCTGTTTTATTGTAATATAGTTAGAGCAGGTCTAATGTCCCGAGACTGTAAAATGAAAATAACCTGCTTTATGTTCCTCTTAATGTTCCTGGCATGTTAACAGATGTCAAAAAACATATCCCATAATTCTGTTTGACTGCTCTGGGATTAGGACAATGTTTGTCAAATAGTAGGTACTTTATTGCACCAAGTTGACTTTCACTTTGGGGGTTCGAATTCTTGTATCAAAAAATAAATATTCAGAATAGATATGTTAATGTTCTACATTAAAAAGATCATGTTTTGTAAATGAGGTACGACTACAGGTGATATCATTAAATCTCTAATGTGACCTGGTCTCTGCTAATCTTCTGAGGTTGTGGTATAAAGGATATATGTGTTATATCAATATAATGATTTTTCTGTTGGGTCATTAACAACATACCAACCAAACACCTGACATTAGTCTGTCAGACTTTGAAATACCAACATGCAACACTAAAATCTGAAGACATATTACTGCAATTTGGCAAGTTTTGTGCAGAAGTGGAAGAATGAGTCATACATTTGAATGTAAAATGACACAGTATATGGTTTACACTTATTGCATTTAAAAAGTATACATGTATTTCATAATTTCAGTTGATTTAGAGGAATGATTTCCTAAATATATATACCAGTCAAAACAAACAGAAAAACGTAGGTATTTATTGAGTCTGCTCAAACATCAAACACCTTTGATATTTCTCCACAGTATACCGTACTCCAATAAATAACAGAACCTATATATAAACGCTGTTAAACCCTTACCTCTGCTTGGAAATTTTTGTTAGCAGCGACATCAAAATCCTTCTGTGATTGAGCTGCGTTTTCTCTTGATTCCAAATCTGTGGGTAGAGATGAGAATGGTACAAGAGAGGAGGACTGGACAGACAAGAACGGACAGATATAGACTGTGAAAACATTGTACAGTGAATATTCAGATTACACATTTAAATTACAAACTTGTGAACATTAGTACTTTGGTGTCTTCACAGCAACATTTAATTTTAAATCACACTTGAAAACCAGATATCATTGTTACTTCAGTTTAACTAGAAGTAACTGTGTGATATCAATACTCTTTTAGGAGAGAAAGGTTTTTATTTTAGGAGATACACTGACACATATTTTTTCAGGACTTAACAAATGCCCCCTATATTCAAAAGAAGAGATGGCCACACACAACCAAATAGTGACATGTTTTGGTACACTAGAACATTCTACCTCATTCTCAAACCCTTCCTAGTATAAAGTGAGATCCCCCAATTTTCTGATTTTCAGAAAATAACATTTATGTTATCTTAAGTATTATACGGTTGAAGGATAACACATTTTCAGGCAATCTTTTAGTTTATAACTTACTTTTTCAAAGTCAGGTAACAAAAAAGATGGTGATTACTGCTATATACAATCTGTTCAAAAAGTATAAATATACAACATATATGATATTACCTTCTTTCAATTTCTTTCGCTTGCTGTCAAGTTCTTTGTGTCTTTTCTCGGCAGCTTTCTTTGCTTTTTGGATTTTATCATATGCTACCTATTCAAATTCAAACAATCTATTTCAGTATTATATACATACTTTACAACCCTGAAAGAAATGTCCCCTCTAATGTTTTATTTATTTCTCTTACACATAACACATGTGCATGCTTGTTACATGCCTGTACATACATAATACAGCTTAGATCATATCAGCATACTATCATGAACTAATTCATCTGAAATGTCACCAACTGACTGGTTATAAAGAAAGCAAAAAAGAAGGGACACTAAAATTACCAGTGCATGGTCTCAAACCAACACTAGTTCCTCAATGTTTCTTAAATTAAATGTTCATGATAAAAAGTATCATACTAATGATACTTTTACAGCGTTGCTTCTATAAGAATTTTTTGTGAGAAATGGCACATTCCAAAGATGTTTAATCTGTCGATTATTTCCACAAATACTGATTTAGCTAGAATAATGTGGTTTAATATTGTACAAATAAATTTTCTAACAAATAGGCTATGTAATCAAACTGTATCAATGTAATACACGTTTAGTCCTGGTGTCTCTAAAGGGGCATTCACCAGGGAGGTTCTCGCTCAATAAAATGATTCTACATACCCTAGCTGGAGCATCTGTGAGGATCTCCAATGCTTTGGAAAGCTTGTGAAACACTTCAACTGAAATGAAATTTAACAAAGAAAACATTATTCACCAATGGCTTTATATGTCATTTGTAAAAACTATACACTGTTCAATCTGGATTTCTGTTATTTTAGCAGAATTTGAATTTAACAAAGGCTGAGTTAAGCATGAGAATTTCTCTGGAAAACTTAACAAATGATTACTGTAAAACACACTACAAAACACTTGATGGGAATCCTTATATCTTTAATTTATGATTTCATAAACCAAGAAATACATCAATGTAAAAAACTACCTGCTTAGTACTTAATCTGGGAACCAAATGTATCCAAGTGTATCACTGTAAAGCCATCAAACTCACCTGCCGCTGGGTTATCTGGGTTTTTGTCAGGATGCCATTTCAAAGCTTGTTTTCTGTAGGATTTCACAATCTACAAAGAAAATTATTTAACCAGGTATGTTTATACTTTCTGTAGCTGCATCGGGTCCAAACACATTTTGTGATAGATGCATATATCTGAGATATAGATCCAAAACAAATCAAAGAAATAATATTAGGTAGTTGATTATGTGAACAAACGTCAATGTAATTTTTCAATTCCCCAAGGCAGTATGTAATATGCCTATTTATTGAGACATAAAGATTAAACAATTGTATGACAAAAGGTAGCTGCTGCCCACCACACAGTTTTCTCCATGTAATCCAGTTACCTCCCAAATTATTCGTGCACTAAGATCCAGGTCAACAAAACTTATTAATATAAATTGATGAAACTTGTTTCAAACAGGCCAGTTACTGTTGTGATTTTTATGGATATTTTTTAACTTCATGACTTAATGCACACACTTCTAGACTACACAAAAGTGACTGAGTTGTGAGGATTTTTCTCTTCTGACTTGAGATGAGGCATTGAAATTCTAGTTTATCATCTGAAATATGAGGATGTTTCTGCAAGTATATACAAAGCAAACCCAAAGGATCGGAAAACAAGAAGTTGCAGAAGAAAAGATTTCAATCTCGCACTGTTCCCAAGGTTTTTCTGGTCATTAGATAGCTGCGGCTAGTGAGACCGTCCTTTTGTTGTTTCATCCCTTATGTACTTCGGGTTTGTGCATATTTATAATATTTCTAAAAAAGATGTATATACTACTGTCTTATTTACATTTATACATTTGTACACATTTGTTCAAATTTGTTTTTGTTCTTTTTCTTCGATTGTCGAATGTACAGTGCTATATTAGAATTAGGTTAGATTAGTGAGTATCCCTAATAAATCGTCCGCATTTCTCCAGTTTCCTTCCCTTTTCTGGTGTTCTGATCTTCCTTGGTTGTTTCAAGTACTTTGTAGGACAATATTTCCAGTTTTGGGATTAGCTTGTTATCCCCACTCAATCCCTATTAGGAAATGTATACAATTCAATATCCTACAATTTGATGGGTATTTTAGGAGGGCCTAAAATATCTTTGCTAGTTTTCATCTTTAATTCTAAATGATTAATAATTCAATGTTTGATTTTTTTTCTAAACTAGTACAGATGAGGGGTGTCACGTTACCAGATGGGAACTGTCCTCAGATCAAAACTTTTTCTTACATCAAATGGCCAGGTCATTACATGTAACAGAGACAAGAGTGGTCCTAGCGTTATGTTATCATCTGTTTGAAAATGAAAGTAGTGTTTACGAGGTGGTGGTGGTGGTGGTG